AAAAGCATATCGACAGGCCACACGGACATCACAGTTCTCCTGTGCTTATGCAGTTAAAGAAAGCATCTAATTAAGAACGGTTGGAGTTTAATCTAGCATGAAGAGATTGCAGATAATTCAAACAGTGTGCTACGATTTTTCATGCGTCAGTGCTGAACTCAAGCAAGGGGAAAATGGGCAACAGATTGACATGGGCGACCGACTAGTGTAGAATGGGGACAGTTTTCAGCGACGCTGCGAAACATATTCAGTATACGCCACACTGGAGATAAACTGCAGAAAAAAAAATCAGTAGTTGTGAGGGCAGAAATTCACACATTTATATCTGTGAGCTTGTATTCAAAGGCGGGTCAGCTGTTCGAAACCTGTATCTGCTGTTATAGCTCAGAATGGGAAAAGAAGAATGTGGTCTTTTGCCCTTACTACGAGCGGTCTGCTTGTGGAGGTCGTGAAAGTAACTAAAACAATAGGCTAGACGCAGATCTCCGTTTTGTGAATTCGTTCTCAACAGGGCTACCGAAATTTTTTGTGATATGGTACCCATGTTTTCTTGGGTTGAAAATTTACCAAAACACACTAAAATGTACACAAAAACATTTTTTAAAATTAAATTTAAAAACCGTAAAAACGTCTTTAACACACACACACACACAAACACACACAAACACACACACACACATTTACATATGTCATCGCAGGTTCTCTACAGAACGTCACTCGTTTCACGGCATGACTGAAAGTCTCTCTTTCTCCAGCATATTCTGCAGCCCTATTTACTTTCATAACCAGTGCATTTTCAATTCCTTGTAAATACACACACACACATATATAGATACACACACACACACATATATAGATACACACACACATATATATAGACACACAAACACATATATAGATACACACACACATATAGATACACACACACATATATACATACACACACACATATATATATATATATATATACATATATATATATATATATATATATATATATATATATATATATATATATATATATATATATATATATATATATATATATGTATACACACATATACATATAAATATATATATATATATGTATATATATGTGTATGTGTGTATACATACATATATATATATATATATATATATATATATATATATATATATATATGTATACACACACACATATTCATTCATTCAGTAGCATGTCCCTCGCGGAACCTCGCTGCCATAACAACCCTCCGGAAAACCTTCCTATCCTGAGCAAGATGTCCTGCGTCTGATACACCCATCTGGAGATCATCTGCCACATCCTGCACCCATCTTCTCCTTGGCCTTCCTCTTCCTCTCTTCCCAGGCATATACCCCTCCATTATTGTTCTCTCTAGACTTCCATGACGTTTCAAGTGACCAAAATTTTTCAATTTTCTTTGTTTTATTGTCTTTACTAGCCAACCCTCTTCAATATTCAGCTCTTGAAGTATGGATGCATTTGTTCTTTTCTTTACCCAAGATATTCTTAGAAATATATATATTTATGTAGTATGTATATATATATATATATATATATATATATATATTTATGTATGTATGTATATATATATATATATATATATATATATATATATATATATATATATATATATATATATATATATAAACAAAATGTCACAACATACTTCGAAATAAAATTGAATCAGAAAAGCTTGAGAATCATATAAACTGGAATACGAAAATGCGCTAAAAGATATGAAAGAGAATCGCCTTCCTGTTAACTGGACAGCCACTCTTGTATTGGCCTTTGAAAATGAAACAAAATTGCACTTGATCAGTCAGGACAAATGGTATTTTATATATATATATATATATATACTGAAGAAGAAATCAGAACACTCGTGTCAAAATGGTTCGATGCGAAGGGAGTATGATCTAACAACTAAAGTGTTTTCATTTATCATGCTAGGATTTCGATACGCAGGTACATATGACTAAAATCCCCAAATCACACCGGGTGCGAGATTTCCCCCAATCTGTTCTATGTTCTAGGGGTGTCATATTTTGTTATTTTCAACGTTATAAGTATTCTGTTCTGTACGCTGAGAGCGGCTGGCACTGTGTTTGTTACTTGCGTTGGGCGTTCGCTCGTCGTCGCTATCACTGCGGCCTTATTTTGTGACTTTCGCCAGGGCCCGCCCCAAAATATAACACATTCTCAAAGTAGTGACAATTTCACAAGAGACCCGGGCCGAGTTAGCGCAGTCGATAAGAGGCTCGCTTTCAAATCCAGCTGCGACTCGCTGCAGCTACGGTCGGTGTTCGAAACCGGGCGGTTCCCGGAGTGGGTACCAAAGTCGACACTCTGGGGTAGATGGAGGAACGTCGCCTGAGTTACGTGCGAGCGGCGACACAGGCGGACAGTTTCATATCAGCTGTCCGTACTGGTGGCAGAGCACTTATGGTTTATAACCGTGTGCAATGATGCTGATTCAAATCTCCCGACATTTTTTTTAAACACAAGAGACCTAGTTGACACAGTAAAGAAAATTAGCTGAACACTCGCTTGCGCGTACGTTCAGACACACGCACACACACACATACACATGCACACACACACACGTAAGTCTCTCAATATTGCCTACAACGACAGAGAGCCTCACACTTTCGTGTTGGGCCTCCAGTGACCGGGATACGGTTTTCCGCACGGTGTATATAGACGGTGAAGGCAAAGGATCACCTGTCTTAACACCCCTACAACCTAGGACAGCCCGTGGAAACCGCCACGTCGTGAACGGAAGCCGATAGAAAATCTCGCACCTGATCTGATGGGGTTGTTTTCTTGATGTGTACCGATACGGACAACAAGTAACAGGTAATATAGCAAAATATTTAACACAGTGCATACATCTCAATGATTTATAGCCAAATGCTTTAATGTTTCTCTAGCAATTGATGTTTTGCGGAATTAATTCAGATAGATAGTTTATCTCTGAATATCTAATGAGAACTGTCTGAACATTTGGGAAGCAAGTTATTCGTGATTAACACAAACATGCTTACATTTCATTTTCATATCACACGCACACACACACACACACACACACACACACACACAGACACAAACACACACTTACATACACAAACAAATATACCAGAGGTCTATATTATATGTACACCAGCTTACCTGCTTTTACCATTCTGGACACACGATAGAGGAGATCGGACTATCCACGGTGTCTTGGTAAGTCATTATATAACATGCGTTTAGAAGATCTGAGATGTTTATGTGTCTTTAGGCCTGCTTGAATACCAAAATACCTGTTTTTTTCTGACTGACTATGTTTTTAGTTCTCAATCAACGATTTGCCGTCTTCACAGTGAAGGTTGGCTGCAATAGATCTCCAACCCACTCTGTCATTTGTCCTGGTTGTACACGCTCTTAAACTGCCGCCCGTCCATCTCTTGATGTTGTCCTCCCACTTGTATCATTATCTATCTCTTGTTTTCTTGAGCTCGACCTTTACTACAGAATGGTTTCTAAAAGCGTAATATGTCTTCCAATGTGCCCCAAAATATTGCAGTTGTCTTCTTTAAAAACAAAAAATTCTGTCAATAATTCTCTTTTCATTTGCAGTCTGTCCAAGATCTCTGTATTTAATTCTTCTATTTCTTCTTCGCGTTCACTGGCTGTTAACTCCGGTGGAAAGTTTGGGTTGTTTGTCCACGTCTAGACTTTAGTCTTGTTCCAGAATATGAGTGTTGCGTGCAAGTTTGTTTTACAGATCTGACAGATCTCTATGCAGATATTCTATAGACCAATTGACACGTGGTGGGTAACGTGGTCAGCATCATGCCGGCCGCCTTTACTTCCCATGACTTCACCTGGTACCCATTCAAGGCCAGGTCGATCTGGTAGCCAAGGTCGCTGAAATAAAAGTCCGGTAGCGCCAGTACCCGAATCTGCCACCTTCTTATCGGCAAGCAAGCATCTAGCCACTACACCAGGGTGACTTCTTCAATCACAGTAACGGAAATAAATGCTCCCGATGCAGCTTCAGTTATAATTATGGTTAAGAGTTTAAATGTTATTGTACTAAACGTTCATTTTTGCTGATTATCTGATTATCTTTTGCTGATCGAGTTGGCCTGCAGTGTCCTGTCCTTAGACGGATAACTGTAGTATGTTGCTTTTTATTGAGTGCTGATGGGGTCTTGTGAATGTTTATTCTTGGTCGGTACTTTCTACAAGTTTTTGTATTTCCACTTGATAAATGATTTGATTTCTGGTAATGACAAATCGTATCATAGAATCACTAATGTAGAGTTTGGGGAGAGAACTTAGCAAGCTCCACTGAACAAAGAAGTGAAGAAAAGACGCTGGCTGGCGTTGGATAGGACACACATTGAGAAAACCAGAGAACAATATAAATAGAATGTCTTTGCAGTGGAACCACAGGGTCACAGGAATAAAGAAAAGCCAAAAAAAAAAAATACTCACGGAGAAGGAAGCTGGAGAATGAAGTTTGAAAGATGGGGAGGGCATGGAAAGAGCTGCATGCGATAGCAAAGGATTGAACGACTTGGCGTGAGTTGGTTGAGGGCCTATGCTCCACTGGAGGCTAGAAAGGCAAAAGAAAGAATGACAATGAATGACTGTGTGTTTTCTCCCTTGTTCCGTTCTCTGCATGTCTGACCACAAACGCATTTCCTAGTATGCCGCAGTGTACCGTGTTCTGGTTGGAATACTGTCATTCGGTTTGCCGGTTTTTTTCGGAGATCCCCGGAGGTTCTTCGATGAAGCCGCTGTGTTTTAGTGTTTTGCGACATTTCAGATAGGTTAGCAGTCGCCCTGCGAAGAAAGTGATTGACCCACGTTCGATAAAACATGAAACAATAAAATTGATTTTCTAGCCTTTAAACGCGATTTATTGACATTTATATTTGTAACGCCAAAACTTTATTGTTACTCACAGGAACGCTGGAGAAAACCGCTTGTCTACTGTTGTCATAACATGAGGAGTGTTCTTTATCTCATATGGCTAGTTTTCTCGGCGTGTTGTGCTGGGGAATCCCGCCTTATTTATGGAGAGTTTCCGCCGTCCTTTATATTCGGGGTCAGCAGTTCTGCCTTTCCTGCTGATGGAGTCTGGGACAAGGACAGTAAGTTGTTGTACTCTGTTTGTTTGTACTTGAAATCACGGCAGTGACCAACACACACACACACACACGCACACACGCACACGAACACGCATACACACAGACACACACACGCAATATACATGTAGGTCCTTTTCTGTTAACCGACCACATCACACGATAAAAAAGGAACTCTCGTAGTATAAGGTGGGAGGGGTGGGGGAGGGGAAGGGTTTTACGGTTAGGTTTAGTGTTAAATAAATAGAGATGGCTACTAACCCTACCCCCCCCCCCCCCCGCAGACTATGAGATTTCCCTAAACATCGTGGTCGCTCAACAGGAAAGAACCTACACGTATACTCATTAAAACCATACTAAAAACGTTCATGAGGGATGTCTGAAAAATCACTGCTATCAGTCATAAGATGACAGAACCGGACTTTCAAAAATGACATTGACTTCCACGTCGACCCAGCCTTGAGTGGGTACCAGGTGCAGTCCTGGGAAGTAAAGGCGGCTGGCGTGATGCTGATTACATTGCCTACCAAGTTTCGATTGGTCTATAAAAATATAGGTCTAGCCCTATATTCCAAAGGGAGTCGCCGTGGCCGAGCGGCTAGACGCTCGCCACGGATCGGAAGGTCGTGGGTTCGCTCCCTGGCGGAGCCGGACTTTTTTTCAAAAATTACCTTGGTTCCCAGGTCGACCCAGCCTTGAGTGGGTACCAAGTGCAGTCCCGGGAGGTAAAGGCGGCCGGCGTGATGCTGACCACATCACTCATCTTGTGCAGATTGGTCTATAAAAATATAGGTCTAGCCCTATATGCCCTATACGCCTAAAGGCGTGGAAGAGGGTCCTTGACATTTTTTAGTCACTAGCTGTACCCGGCCACGCATTGCTGTGGCATAGTTTGGCTAAATGGAAATGAAAGAAAATAGAAATCGCACGTGTCTAATACAATCATTGTCTGCTCAGAAATAGAAATAGTCTGTGATCCCCACCTCAGCCCCCCACCACAACTAAATTAACCTACTACTCTCTCCCTCATCAAAGGTTTTTAAAAGAGAAAGACAGTGGAAATCGCTCGTGTCTAATATGAGTAAATAACAAAGTCAGTCGTAAAAACAAATGAATAGCGGAGGTAGCGTTAGTAAAATATTAACAAATTAAGTAATGAGAACTTAAAAATCACGTGTAAAGCGCTTTAAGTTCTCTTAAATTTAGGTCATTACACACCTTTCCTCCCCTCTTCCACCGACTACTGCTCTCTCCCTCTTCAAAGGATTTGAAAATCATCACCTGGCGATATTTTGTTGTTGTTGTAACTGACATTGACATCCCTGTCCATCCGGACTAAAATGGGGAGCAGGAATTGTAATAGGTAGTGAATGGGGCTAGTGTAATATTTGCCACATCATTCTTCAAGTACCCGTACAACTACTACCACGACCACCACCACATTAGCTGTACCCGGCCACGCGTTGCTGTAGCATAGTTTGGCTAAACGGAAATGAAAGAAAATAGAAATCGCACGTGTCTAATACAATCATTGTCTGCTCAGATATAGAAATAGTCTTTGATCCTCACCCCCCCCCCACCACAACTAAATCCACCTACTACTCTCTCCCTCATCAAAGGTTTTTGGAAAAGAAAGACGATGGAAATCGCTCGTGTCTAATATAGTTAATGTCCCAATCATTCTCTGCACAGATATAGAGATAGTCTGGTTTTCCAACTTTAGAAAACGCACCATATAATTGTGTTTTTATATTAGTGGTCGTTTAAATGGTGTTATTAGCACAGCAACAAAAATGGTTTTTTGGTTATCACATGCTAAAGCTGTTTGTATTTTTATAGGAGACGGAAGTAAAGCTACAGCTGTACTTGTAAATAACAAAGTCAGTCGTAAAAAAAAATTGAATAGCGGAGGTAGCGTTAGTAAAATATTAACAAATTAAGTAATGAGAACTTGAAAATCACGTGTAAAGCGCTTTAAGTTCTCTTAAATTTAGGTCATTACACACCTCCCCTCCCCTCTTCCACCGACTACTGCTCTCTTTCTCTTCGAAGGATTTGAAAATCATCACCTGGCAATATTTTGTTGTTGTTGTAACTGACATTGACATCCCTGTCCATCCGGACTTAAATGGGGAGCAAGAATTGTAATAGGCAGTGAATGGGGCTAGTGTAATATTGACCACATCATCCTTCAAGTACCAGTACAACAACCACGACCACCACCACAGTAGCTAAAATAATGTCACTGCTATCTGTTTTACCATCGGAGTAGACAGGGAGTCGTGAGCCAGAAGATTTGGTGCCGCATAGCTAGTGCTGTTGCCACGGACTGGTCAGGTTAGGATGTATAATTTCGCTTCCTGACAGAAGAACGCCATAACCTCACCGGCGGTCTTCACATGAGAGCACTACGGTGTAACAGCCCAACCACAACTACTACTGCTGCTGCTACTTTGAGTGGGTAAAGCAGTTACTGTGACTTAAAGCTCTATCAGTAAACAGTTTGCACCCCAACCCCCCCCCCCCCCCCCCAATTCACCGACTACTCTTTCCCTCATTGAAGTAGTTGGGAGAAAAAAAAAACCAATTAAAAAGCAAATGAAAACAGAAAAAATACACCATAATTAGGAAATGAACGTTATGGTAAACAGCACAGCTTAAAATTCCAACGCAGATGAAATAATTAAATCTAAATGAAAATAAATGGTAAAGTTTAAAAATGAATTCATAAGTATGCGAAATGGTCAAATTTAATTATCAACTGATTTACCCACACACCTGTCCTTTTTTTTTTGTATTAAGGGCCACATGGCTAGTGCTGTCGCCACGACAGTGCAGGTGAGGATTTTATTTTAGCCCCGGGTAAAAAAAAATTTTGCGGATTCGAACCCTGGTCTCCCGAGCAGGAGCCCAGTGTTCTAACCATTAGACCAAGCTGCCACTTCATCAGAGAAACGAAAAAAGAACATAACTTTTTGAGATGTGTGACCCTACTACAGTGTCCCGATTTTAACACAACTCAAAACAGCAGGCAATTGTTTTCTCATTGACAGATATTCCAGATATATTATTGAAACGGCACAACAATAGAAATCGCACGTGTCTAACACGATTAATGTCGCAGTCAATGTCTGCGCCGACGTCAAGATAGGCCTTGATGCCCCCCCCCCCTTTCCCTTCCAATCCATCGGTTACTTTCCAACTCATCGAAGGTTGTTTAAAAAAAAAACCAGAAAATAGAAATCATGTTTAATATGGTTATTGTGGCAATCATTGCCTGCACAGATCTAGAGATAGTTTTGTTTGCTGTACCACGGCCTACTCTATTTATTAGAGAAGGCGTTGGCTGTACGTATCTCGCCGGCTAATGGTGGAAGTCTTGCGTTATGACTACGGCGCATGCGCATTTACTAACCTGGCTATAAATAACTGTCACTAAAAATGTAAATATTAGTTTCGATGATTTTCCTAAAAATTGTCGTACATTATCTCTAACAATTACAGGTTGAATTTCAAACCATGATGGATGAACATCCGGTATCAAAACAAACATATCCTGAAAATTTCAGCTAAATCGGTTCAGTAGTTTCCGAGTCTATAGCTCAAAAACAAACACACAAACATTGATTTATGTATATATAGATAAAAGAAAGAAGATTTCGATATGCTCGGCTCATTCAGAGAACAAGCTGCTAACGAAAACAGGCAATGAAACAGGAAACTAATGGATAGAAAAATGGAGAGTGTCCAGCAAAAACCCTACTACAAACATTTCATGTGTGGGTTCCAGGCCCCCATTGTGAGGAAAAACAAACCCACTTCCTGCACAAAAGCATGCTGTGAGAGTTGCTTGTTGGGAGCTTCCTTGGAAGTCGGAGTAGATCTTATGAGAAGCAACAAACCAACAGACTGCATGCAAGTGAGTCAGATTAGTGAAACAGACGTGCACGCAACACTCAGTTTCTGAGACAGGACGTCCAGAAGTAGACGAACAACCAGAACTTTCTGGGGAAGTTTACATCCGGTGAACGTGAAGAAGAAGTAGCTACAAACGTTAAGGAGAGAGGCCAAAGGTACAATTCCTTACATTCATCTTCTTCAACCTATTTTTGGCGGACCTGTGTCAGTCCGGGCAAATGTGAAACTGTCCGCTAAAACTGGATGCTAAATGAGGTTTTGAGTTTTTGAACAACGGATCAACATTATAGCACCCAGGTAGTAACCTCCGTTTTACTTCTAACTCAAGTCTGAGTCCCAAGAAGCTCAACACTGTGGCTCTGTAGCACCGGCGACGATCCTTAAATACTTTCGTTAGACTTTTAGGTCAAAATGTTTGCCCGGGCAGCACATTTAGGTTACGCTTTTCGATTTCCAAGGGATTTTTATTTACGTGCACAGCAATGCACACGGGCGTCCGATCTCACTACCCAGAGACCAGGGGGAATTACTAGAAGTCCAAGTCCACGTGAAAAAAATCATAGCCCTTACCGGGGATTGTCGGCTCTGTGGATAAGTCGATGCGAACGCTTCGTAATGCTGGGATGCCGGGTTCGATCCCAGCTGCGGGCCATGCGCCTTGCGTTGGTTTTGACAGTGGTATCGAGAAAGCCGACCGTCCTGAAAGCAACGGCAAACTACTGGACGTATATTTGCCTAGAAAACCCACACAACAGCCAGGGGCTGTTCGGTTGATTCTGCTACGTCCTGTAAAGGATACGCAACTAACCTTTTACCGGGGATTAAAGCCGGAACCTCTAGCACTCGAGGCGGACACCATGCCCCGAGACCACGCAGCCCCCTGGTGCTAAATAAAACGACGCCTAGGTCACCTCTCTCAGATGTTCTTACTTCTAAGCGGCAACACGTGATCGCTTTCGTTTCATACTGTTTTGTGTGTGTGTGTGTGTGTGTGGTTATAATATTGGATTTAATAAATAGAATGTCAGGTATCTTTATATTTGTTTCGTCTTGACCGTTAGATGTTTCGCGACATTGTCCTCATATTTTGCCTGTTGACAGGGAACAACTGTTTAATTAACAACACTGCCATACAGAATATATAAAAAATGACCAGTTTAAAACAGGGTGGAAGAATCGACTACTGGCATATCTTTAAAACGTATGTGCACACGCAAAATTCAAGGTCTCCAATAAGATCAAAGTCAAGAAGTGGACGAACATTAGAGATTACTGCTGGTAAACGCTAAGAGAAAGGATAAGAAAGTTTTGGTAACCCTGCGTGACGTATAACGGCACAACAGAATAATGATCTGACAATATTCAATGATTCACACTGGTGCTTTAGGAGATTCACTGGCTGCGGAGATGTCGTATCTGAGAATATCACGGAATAATATTTGAATTAGTATGTCCACCTCGAGACAGATGAAAGCCGTAAGCTGATCAGAGAAATTAGACACAGACAGATGAAAGCCGTAAACTGTAGAGAAATTAGACGCAGACAGATGAAAGCCGTAAACTGATCAGAAAAATTAGACATAGACAGATGAAAGCCGTAAGCTGGTCAGAGAAATTAGACATAGACAAACTTGTTTCTCGGACAAGTTTTGAGGAGTGGATTCGAGAACTTTGCAACGATTTGTAGGAATGATGGGGAAATAAAGCAACCGGAAGGTAAATAGATAAAAATCTGGAGTGCTTAGCGCTATGGCTGAGCGAGACGAGAAGACTAACAAGATCCGTGTTTCTGCTGATTGTGTTAAGATGGCGAAACATGAATACCTGGGGTTATAGCTCCGGCAATAGATTATCCTGATGATTAGTATTAGCTGAATATAGCTGTTACTAACTTATCTTGCCCAGGCGCTAGCTCAGTTGGTTTAAACCAGCTGGGCGGCGACAGGGTGATAAACTCCTTGTGGTCCGAGTTCTCGCTCAGGGGTAGGAAAAAAAAGCCACAGTCCTCCCAGGTGTACGGTATCTATCATGGAATCAAGGCCGAAGAGTTGCAATATCCACTGTACCGAGCCAAAGGGCTTTAAACTCGTGGTTTCTGGATGTAAACAATTTTTTGTTTGTTTAACTAGTCTTGAGTCAGCCTTCTGTGTCTGGTCATTCAAAGTATAAATAATGGCTACCGAATAGTAGTAACATTGTCGTCCGCTTGTGGGATGCAATTTTTCGTTATTTTTAAGCTCCACCCTGGCTGCTGCCGGGGGCCCTAATATAACCTAACGGTTAAACGGCGTTTGCGGGACCTCTACCCGGGTGATCCTCATCCACATGGTGACACTTTGTGTCACCGGGTGTTTATCGCTTGTGTGATTTCCCGGTGGGATAAAACTTACCTACTAATTACCATAGAGATGAAATAATTACACTATTTTACCATTAAAGGAAAAGATGCCAGTATTTGTGACGAACTCACCAAGAACGGTTCAAGTATCCATGGAAGCGGGGACGCCAGGACCGCAGCTGACGGCTACCAGAATGTGAAGACTGACGTACAGCTACTGAAGTCACTTGGCGTGAGTTTCGTATAAGCACTTTATGTTTATAACTTCGTGACATAGCCTTTGTGACACTAGTCTTCCATGCCACATAAAGGTCCTTCAAGAATGCCCAACGTTCTCAGGTGATGAGATAGTCTTAGTATGTCTATTGTGTTATAACATCGCTGCCAGGGATATAACTAATCATACGAAATTAGGCTTCAACGTCATCATCAGTTCTCGTTGTGCCTAGTAGCACATGAGGTTTCAGAGAGGACTTTCCATGCTTTCCTGTCCTGGGCAATCTTCAGTGCAGTTTTCCATGACAAAGATGCCGCACTCAGGTCACTTTCCATCGTTCGTCTCCATGTTGTTTTTGGGCGCCCCTGTTTTCTCTTTCCCTATGGTGTTCTAGAACAATGGTTCTAGAATGCTAGCAGTTGTGTTGGGATCTACTTTGAGAAGTTCTGCTGGCAGTTCGTCTTTGCCTTTATAATAAAAACGATAAACTATTTTTTAGACAACAGAACACAGAACACTGAAATATTTTGGTCACGAAAGTCTTAAGAAAACAATAATATAGGGGTATATGCCTGGGAAGAGAGGAAGAGGAAGGCCAAAGAGAAAATGGATGCAGGATGTGGCGGATAATCTCCAGATGGGTGCAATGGAAGCGGGACATCGTGTTTGTGATCGAGAAGTTTTCCGGAGGGTTGTTCTGGTAGCAAAGGTTCTGCAAAGGACATGGTTTCAACTTCAGTGCAATTGGAACACCCCATACTTTCTCAGTTCCTGTGCCAGTCAAAATCAATTGAAATGTCCCTCACTGTAGCGTTTTAAAAAAAACTGTTGAAAAAACTATTAGTCCCGTCACAATCTGAAAATGTGCGCATGCAGTAAAAAGCAAATGACAGTTGCTAGAGGCGCTAAAGTCAAGCCGCCGTAAAAGTTTTTTGATGGAAGTAGAATTATTACGTAAGGTATTTCACCAGCTCATACGAACCCCGGCTACCGGCCATATTGAATACCACGACTCAATTCCTGTACAAATAAAAGGCATTTCACATGAAAAAAAAAAAAAGAACACAGAACTGCAACCAAGCATTAAACTCAGTAGCTAAGGCAGCGAAATCGAAGACTTCCGTCCATATGTGGAAACTGCATAAGCAAAGCGCTGACGGGAGCAATAATAACTTAGACATCTAACATTCTGCCATGCCTAGCCTCCAGTTTTGAGCCGAAATCAAGAGACTGATAAAGTGAAGGAATTTCGTTCTTGTGTTATTACAGGTTTCACATTACAAGTTCTCCCTGTCGTGGCCACGAATTCTCCCAGCTGGAACTACTGAACGTGTCAACGATAAAGGCGTGGCCTACTACAACGAGCTAATCGACAAACTGTTAGCCAATGATATCCAGCCTTTCATAACACTGCATCACTGGGACCTACCCCAGCAGCTGCAGAACCTCGGTGGTTGGGCGAATGAATCATCGGTCACCTGGTTCAAGGAATATGCCGACCTGTGTTTCAAGACGTTTGGAGACAGGGTACGATAAAACATTGCCATTAATTTTTTAGCCAAAATATATTTTCTCCCTACTTCTGCCTCCAAAGATACCAGTTTCAGTTGTTTCCTAATTGGCCTTGGTCAAAATGTACTTGATAGTTATATCATAATTACACAGTATATCTATATTTAACAACATGTATACAGATAAAGTCAATACTTGTGACACTATGTGTCGATTAACTCACTTAGTTATTTAGGCTCCTAAATTAGTGACACAAAAATGTAGATGCATTCAGTAAAGAGAATTATCTACTACCTAGTTTCCAATAAATTAAATTTAAAAAAAAATATCCCTCTTCCAGGTCCAAGCAGTGAAAAAGGAATGAAAAAAAAAAACACTCACACACGCACATGCATACACACAAACGCACACATGCACACACACAGACACAAGCACGCACACACACACGTACATACGCACACAGTAGACTTTAGGATTCCTGAAGTTTTACTGGAACGCGACTCTCCTTCCAAACAACTCCCTGTCCTCTCTTTCTTAGTGACGTCCTTACGCTCTTCCTAGGAACGTAGAGTGAGATTATATTTGTAATCATTTCATCTTATTGCTGGTGTATTTATGTATTTTTACTGATATTTTAAGTATAGTTAGGCACTATATGAATTTTTTTTTAATACAAGCTCATACGTAGATAATATAACAATAGAATTCTTTTCGAAATGTTAACTGTTCGCTTGCTGCTGAAGATGGGGACGGAGCGATTATGGGGGTGTCCAGAGTGCTGTTATATAGATTCTCAATTCAACGAATTAATACTTTTTTTTCTGATAGGGAAAATTAATTTTTAACACAAATTTTAACATTAATTTTTTACTGTCTTTATGTCAGACAAGGTTAGTTGCGTATCCTTTACAGGACGTTGCAGAACCAACACGAAAAGCCGCTGGCGGTTGTGTGGTTTCTCTAGGCAAATTTACGTCCAGTAGTATGCCATTGCTTTCTGGACGGTCCATGGCCCGCAGCTGGGATCGAACCCGGCATTCCGGCATTATAAAGCATGTCAGGCGAGATTCTCCCTAATTGTGTAAGACATGGACAAGGCGGTGGACTGGTCTTCGGGACTTTGCAGTTTCACGTAAATGTTCTCTTTAACTGAGACAACACTTACTCCTTTCTACAAACTAATAAACACTTATTATTGAATCTAAACTTTTTAAGGTTAAAATATGGACAACAATCGAAGATCCAGTGACTTTGGCCTACAAAGGTTACGAGACTGGCGACCATGCCTCGGGTTTAAAAAACCCAGACCTGGTGTATCTTGTTGGGCATAACTTGATCCGGGCTCACACCGAGGCTTATATAATATACAAGGACACTTACAGGGCTTCTCAAAATGGTAAGACACATTTCTCTGGCTTAATGAATTGCCTATGTTAGTATTCGCTTATATCAATTAGCAGGTTCTTTACAGAATGTATATCTCTTCACGGCACCTCCAGCAGTCTCTCTCTCTCTCTCTTTCTCTCTCTCTCTCGCTCGCTCTCTCTCTCTCCCTCTCTCGCTCTATGGTCAGTTCTACAGCCCTATCAGCATGCACAACAAATACAGCTTCAATGTAATACAGCTTCTTGTGTCCACCTTCGTACATTTATCAAAAATGACCCTGACTCACAGGTCGACATAGCCTTGAGTGGGTACCATGTGCAGTCCTGTGAAGTAAAGGCAGCTGGCGTGATGCTGACCACTTCCCCGATCTTGTGCCACTGGTCTATTTTTTTTTAACGTATCCAGAAACCATGAGTTGCAACCCTTTGGCTCGGTATTATGGATATCGCAACCCTTCGGCATTGATTCCATTATAGGTACCGTTAATCTGGGAGAAATGTGGCTTTTCTGCCTACCCCCGGGAGTGAACCCAGACCACAAGGAGTTCGTCACCCGGCCGCCGCGAAAGTCAGGTTTAACCAACTTCGCTAGAGAGCCGGGCGCCATTGGTCTATAAAATATAGGTCTAGCCCTATATACCCAATACGCTGGAAAGGCGTGAAAAAGGGTCCTTCACTTTTACTTACCATAGTACAGCTAGGAAACTGTACCCTCCAAGAAGGTTTTCTCCGAGCCACCATGAAGTTTAACATGGCTAAAGTACCTCAGCTTTCAGCACAGGGTGCTGTTTATTAGCCAGTTGTGCGCGATGTTCAGATTATAAAAGATGTTGGTGTTTTTCTTCTTCCCGGTCAATGATATTCCAAGAATTTATCTGTAGCATTACAGTTCACAAGCTCTGAATTCTTTCCTTTAAAGACTGAGTAAGAATCCACGACGCCCAGCCGTAAGTTACCACAGCATGATCTCAAAATGTTTGCTTTAACCCGCTTGCAGTTGGTGTGCAGCGGCTTCTTCATGCTGTCCTCACTTGACGACATGTTTCTTCTCCACTTGTGTGCGATTAAAAGTCTTGTGTGTTCCGAAGACACGAAGAGCTATTCCGACGGTAGCTCGGCTGCTAGAAAGGTCTACAATGTTGTAGAGGTCCCTGGAGAGGGACCATATATGGTGGGGGAGACAGACAGACAGACAGACCGATGGACGGGTGGACAGACTGACAGACGATGAACACGAATAAGAAGAAGGAGAAATAATATCTATATATAAAAATATACATACATCAACAGCAAAACATCTCCCACTTTCACATATCATCAACGCTGTACCGACTGGGCTTGTTGATAATGACGAATCTGTGAAACGATTGCATGACCTGCGGGTAAAGCATGATGAAGCACATCTATGATACCTTTTATGCCGATATAGGACACATTATAACCAAATCCTCACAAGAACAGTCAGCAGATGTATCTTGGAGGGGCTGCTGTAAACGAAGGACTAAACCCGAACGTAGGGAAGATAGTTTTTCCTTTTTCAGGACTGCTTTTGTGTAGGATTCAACAACTCAAGAATGAGAGTGAAACAAGGATAAATCCCGGGAAGTCCTGTTTAACCCCCAAAGAAAGGAATATTATGGCACCTGACGGTAACACAATCATTTCGTCGCCCAACTTCTGAGTTGAATGCATGGAGTGACACTGTGAGCTGCGGATTTCATTTTGAATGTTTTCTCGACTGTGACCAAAGTGGTGGTGTGAATAGTAGATTCAGAGAATGGCGCGATGCCTGTCGTCGCAATGTTGGTGGTGCCCGTACGGGATTAAAATTGATCGCGTAGGCAACTGCTGATCTGTTGGTGACTTCTGCTACCATCAATGATGAACTGCTTTTTTAATATCGGACTGTTTGTGTAAGCACTTCGGATGGCTACTGTATGCTTTAATGCGTGTGTATGCTAGATATGTTGAGACAGCAGTCTGTCAATCTTTTCACAAGGGACTGTGATAAACATTATGTGTGTTTTTCTTTGGCACAGGAGCGGAGCAAAGATGGGGTGACCCGTTTGCTATGAAGCTGAAACTAAGACTACCAGACTACCAGACAATCTATAGTCCAGTCTGGGCTGAAAAGGGGGAAGGGGGGGGGGATTAATGTAGCGTCTGGATTCCTGCAAAGTCAGTGTGTCGTCTGCTCCAAATTCGATTCTGTTTCATCAGCTGCCAGGTTGGTCGCCGAATAAATTCCCTGGTTTTGGTGGGCCGCTTGGGTAGCACGGTTAAGGAACACTGGTTTTAAAACAGTTTTTTTTTTTCTGCGAATATAACCCATTAACCCTAAATGTCAGGTTGAATGGTAGTTTTCTGAAGCAAGCTTATTTAAATCTTCTTCTGCTTTCGTTCGCTTGAAATGGATTATCTATATGTGCAATGTTGTCTCTGCTATGAACTTCACTAATTTTTGTAAATCACTTAGTGACCCGTGAAGTTTGACTTGCAGCGGTGTTTCTCTTGGTCAGAAATATTGTTTTGATATGTTGTATTTGGGAGAGTCTTGGAATTTTAATATCTGGGAAGTAAATACTCCGAGGACGGGAGAATAGATCGGGAAAAAGAAACAAGATTTCAACGAGCCTGTGCACTTTTATACCAGCTGACACAATTATTAGGACATCCAAATATAAGTATGAGTGCCAAGAAACTGATTATAAAAAGCATATTCACACCAACACTGTGCTACCAGTGCCAGACTTGGACATTATAAAAGATTAACCTTTGTAAAATTAATACGTGAGAGATGGGATGCCTCAGAGAAGCTGCCAAATTAACCTCCCGAGACAGGTTAGAAATGATATTTTCGGACAGTCTGTAGGAACAAAACCATGCAGCAAGTTCTTTGAAAAACAACATGGTTTGGTCATTTAGTAAGAATGCAGCCAGAACAACTACCAACGCAGGCGCTATACATGAACAGATCTGAAATGAAAGTAAAAGGTCGTCCTAGGAGAAAATGTATTTATGACATTAAAGAGCTTCTTCTTCGACACGGAATGACAATAGACATACCTTTCCATCAAACAATGAATCGCAAACTGTTTCTCCCCGCGGCGTTTAACGCCAGAAGAAGAAAAATGATGATGATGATGAAACCACTAAAACAAACATGTAGCTGGTCCGTGGCAGATAATAATAGGGAGTCCGCAGGGTCATATAAGTGGGAACCACTGTGCTGGGAAAATGTCATGAAAAAAGACGTCACACCAAAAACAACATGGACATCAGCTTCATAGTATTATACAGTATTATAAAGACAAAGGACAAGTGAGCGTTGGGGCTATAATGCCTTCATCAGCACTTTACATAAATCTAAGATACCAAAAGTAAGGTATTTTCCTCGCCTTCAGACATATTCAGCGTATAGTTCTAGATCTATATTTTATAGACCGTTTGGCACTCAGTGAATGATGTGGTTTACATCACACCAGCCGCTTTTACTTCTAAGTACTTGAGTCAGAAGTAGAATGGAGCACTTATGTGTTACCGCTTTCGTCATGTCGTTGATCCGTTGTCTAAACCTAAACCTCTACATCAGGGAGGCTCCATGTAAGACTAATACGCACCAAAAATAAATAAAAGCACTTATCTAATGCATCTTCGACATTAACTATCCTCTGTCTGCTAGTAGAATATCTGGCACGTGTGTGGCCACCGGAAATAAATACTGGCCAGAGAAAGCCGCCAGCCAGAAGGGTTAGGAAAAAAGAACCGAAACAAATTGTTGTTTAAAGTGCTCGTACTGCCTGGTAGGATTGACAAAACTGTAAAGCAGTTCGCTTCAACATGATGACTGAAGCTTATAGAGGGTCTTCTTGGTGTAACGGTTGACCTGTTTTTCCGTGATCTGAAGATCGTGATTTTGTTTACCAGATGCGTTGTTCTGTTCACGCCTGCAATTTTATACGCATATCCCTCAGGGATCGTCGCTGGAGCTACTGAATTCGTGCTTAGTACGATGCTCGGGAAAGACAACAAACTCTGTTGCGAACAGAGACAGAGCCAAAGGGGATATAATCCGACGCAATGAAATCGATCTTTTCAACTGTAACTTTTTTATTATTATTATTTTGTCATCTTACTGATGCCAGGTTGTAGTCTAGTGTCGTGGTTTTGTCATCTTTTTGATGCCAAGTTGTAGCCCTGTGTCGTGGCTTTGTCATCTTTCTGATGCCAAGTTGTAGCCCTGTGTCGTGGCTCTGTCATATTACTGATGCCAAGTTGTAGCCCTGTGTCGTGGTTTTGTCATCTTACTGATGCCAAGTTGTAGTCTAGTGTCGTGGCTTTGTCATCTTACTGATGCCAAGTTGTAACCCTGTGTCGTGGTTTTGTCATCTTACTGATGCCAAGTTGTAGTCCTGTGTCGTGGTTTTGTCATCTTACTGATGCCAAGTTGTAGTCCTGTGTCGTGGTTTTGTTATATTACTGATGCCAAGTTGTAGCCCAGTGTCGTGGTTTTGTCGTCTCACTGTTGCCAAGTTGTAGCCCAGTGTCGTGGTTTTGTCGTCTCACTGATGCCAAGTTGTAGCCCAGTGTCGTTGGTTTCTATATTTCTCTTGCTCTGCACGGGTGGCTTGGGTGATAGACGTTCATTGTTTCGCAAGTTTCGGCTACACCATTTATCCATCTCTTTCTCGGTCTTTCTCTTGCCTTTCTCCAAGATGTTCTGTTGTAAACAGTCTCATAAGCAGTTTGGCTGACTGCAATTCTCATTAGATGGCTATACGATTTCATTCTTTGTCTGTCAGTTTAATCCAGACATGGTCTTATTTCAACTTTCTCTCTTATGCTGGTATTCGTAACCCTTTCTCGTCTAATGTCGTTAATGACTTTGCAGAGATAGCGCATTTCATATGTACTTATTTTCTAAACTGGTGCCCGAATTATTGTCCATGCTTATTTGTTTTCAGGACAAGTAGGAATTGTTCTGAATTCTGACTGGTATGTTCCCAAAACTACATCTGCCTCTTATGTCGATGCTGCTTTGAGAGCTCTAGCTTTCTATCTGGGCTGGATAGCAGATCCACTGTTCAAGGGCGACTACCCAGCTTTAATGAGAAAGTACCTTGGTAACCGGAATCTGCAAAAGGGAGTGCCACGCCGGACACTTCCAAAATTTAACAAACGCGAGAAGTCTAGAATTAAAGGTATACCAATCTCCCTTTTCTTCATCGCTACCATCGTCGATGTCGTCGTCATCATCGTCGTCATCATCACCAACAACATCAACTTCATCATATATTTAGCCACTGAACTGGTCGTGAAGCTTTCTGAATGTTTCATGCCTTAACTTCAGTCTTCTTCTTTCTTCTTTTCTCCAGACCCGATTCAGCCTTTCAGCATAAGGTTTTGAAGAGGTCATTTGGCGGAGGCTTTGAGGTGTATTACGTAGTTGCTGGTATTCACAACCTCAGATACTTGATCTATCCATAGTTTGAGTGGGCAAAATAAAGCTCTGCTACATCTTTTGTCGTTGCCTTCAGTTTTATGTACATCTGCATCAACAGACCTGTGTAATCAGGTATATATTTTATACGGTTGAAAAGGTAAATGTTTCTGTAGGACTAGAATCCAGAAAGTGACTCTTTGAGTGATTAGGTGTCACATCTTGAAATTATATTCCCAGACAGGTTTGGAGAGGGGAGAGGGAGAGACAGGAGGAGAACAAAGTGCAAGCGAGCGAACTCTATAAACTAAATTCTACACGTTTTCAGGACAGCTGGTAACAGCCAATAGGAGTAGTTATATGTGTGGTGCATCGTTTAACCTGCTTCTTATATAAATCAAACACAAACGGCCAACTAAAGAAACATTTTCGAAGTTAATAAAAGCTTATTTAAAAAAAAGTGCGCCTCTGTGGCTTAGATGTTTGGGAAATAATTTTACAGTGCAATTCTCGACACTCGTCAGGGTTCAATTCCCACTGTTGACGGTTCAGGAAAAGACCGTTCTCGTGGCTTTCAGACAGTTGAGCGAGAGTTGCACCTCGGAAGAGATGGGGAGCAGTAGTAGTTGCTACATTGCAGCCGACCTCCACTATGAAGATGGCACTATTAAAAACAAAAATGTTAAATTAAAAAACACGTATAATGGATAGCGGTATCAGTTTATTTAGATTGCGAATTTAAAGAAAAAAAAAATTAAATAATATATTGAATGTTTTTTTTTTAAGGCGCTCTGGACTTTCTGGCTATTAGCCACTTCAAGACAAAGCTGGTATCGCATAAAACCAACATGGGCAATGGGTTTTTGAAAGACCAGGACATATTGCTGGAGGTAGATACGTCTTATCCAAAGTAAGTATTACAACATATCCCACAAAGATATAATGCAGCCTGATAACTTAGTGTTATGGCAGAGCAGACTAGAGGTCTAGCGTTGGCTGTCAGCTGGTCAAGGAGAGAAGCTCCGACAGGTACCGAGGGTACCAGTAACTGTCTGATTGTACATCCGTCTGGCCTTTCCCTTGAGCGTTTAGCGTCAGCCAGATACCTAGAAACTTTCCGCAGCGCCATTTTCTTTAACCCGTAATGATCTATTTGTGCCTCTGCACTGTTTACTCGCTCCCAAAGACCCTCACAACATCTAGCTTGTCATACATCAATTCACCAACACATGGTGCAGAACCGATCAGTTTATCTGTCTGCTCGTTTCCCACCACACCAGCGTGAACTGATGAAAACATTGAAAGGATTCAGAGAACTTGGCAGGAGATTCAGTACCGTCTAGACATCACAAGAGTTTGAAAAAACGGCGACCACACGGAAGTATTCTTCAAAATAATTCTAAAACTTCAAACTTTTCTGAGCATTCTAAGGGGCCACACGGGTAAATCAGCCGCCTTCGTTTCAAAGATGATCTTGGCTACCAGGTCGAATCAGCCTTACATGTGTGGCAGGTAAAGTCCTAGGAAGTAAAAGCGGCTGATATGATGCTGACCACATTACCCACTGAGTACCGATTGGTTTATGGTATATACAGGTCTGGTACTAAATGCCCAATACGCATAGGGGCATATAAAAAGAGTTCTTTTACAGGCGTGTATCCATTAAATATTTCATTTATAAATACTGTTTGAATTTCCGGCAATCAAGCCTAATGGCCCTATATATTTACTTTTCATAAACATGAAACCTAACTAAAAGGGGAAAGAAAAAAAAAAAACATGCAGATAGTAATCTAATTTTAAAACCGAAATCTTTATCAACGGGCACCATGAAACAAAGCAGAAGATGAATCCTAGACGGTTCCCCACATTGGAATCTATAATCTCGTCTGCATTCCCCGCTGTTGCTGTTACTCGTTATGTGATCTTGCTCACACAGCTTGGAATACCGTCCGGAGACGAACCCCGACAGTGACAAACGTCTAATGGGGTTCGGTCTGAGGGATCTTCTGGTTTACCTGACCACAACATACAACAATCCGGCCATTTATGTGACGGAAAATGGGCTGGAGACTTGTGGGACACTGCAAGATCAAGACAGGATAGACTATATCAGAGACTACAGCAACAATGTCTTACAAGGTAAGATGCTGGGATGTCCTTTTGATGTTAAATGCAGTCTTAACAGCAAACAAATAAATGTTACTGCAGTGTGAAGTAACAATTAAGGACTCTTTAGCACGCATGTAGTGGTATCGAGTGCATAGTGCTAGGCTGATATTTTCAGATCAATCGGCACTCGGTGGGTGATGTGATCGAAACTATGCTGGTCGCCTTTACTTCCTAGGAATTTACGTGGTACCCATTTAACGCTGGGTCGACCTGGGAGCTAAGATCATTTTTTTTTAAAGAAAGCGCTGTTTCATTTGAATTTGAACCCATTATTTTCGGAACCACAGGCGGGCGCACGTCCATTTCACCACAGTGGATCCCAAAGTAAAGTAAAGGTGAATCGGCTGTATGATTAAGTTAGTTGCGTATTCTTTACAGGACGTTGCAGAACCAACCCCAGCAGCCCCTGGCAGTTGTGTGGTTTCTCAAGGCAAACTTTCGTCCAGTAGTTTGCCCTTGCTTCCTGGACGGTCGGCCCCTGATGCCAGGGTGCCGGGTTCGATCCCAGCGGCATCCATGCACCTGGCGATGGTCTCGACAGTGGATTCAGGGGCCGACCGTCCAGTAGGCAATGGCAAACTACTGGACGTAAATTTGCCTAGAGAAACCACACAACAGCCAGGGGCTGCTGGGGTTGGTTTTGCAACGTCCTGTGAAGGATACACAACTAACCTCTGGGTAGTGAGATCGGACGCCCGTGTGCATTTTTGCGTACGTAAAAAATCCCTTGGCAATTGAAAATCGAAAAGAGTAGCCCAACGGCAGTTAAAAATTTACCCAAAGTGTTTCAGGATTCTTGCCAGTGCTAGAGTCTATGCACTGTGCTGAGCTTCTTCGGACTCAGACTTGATTTAGAAGAAAGACGGAGCACTTATGTGTTACTACCCGTGTGCCCTGATGTTGATCTGTTGTTCGAACGTCAAACCTCAGTTTACGAACGTTTGTCTCGTGCACTTTTAATCATTTCTAACACAGATGATCTTTCATACCAAGATGTCAAACTGTCCAGAATCTTCTCTCTCGGTGTTCCTCTGCCTCTTTTCCCACCGTCACGATCTACTCCAGTTTTTCTCATTCTCACCACATGACCAAGGTATGTAGATGTCTCCTTCTGACATGAACAGTCAGTAATCTCCATGAGTCAGTTTTAGATCTCGTTTTAATCTGCAAAACTGTTTTTCCAAACTGGTTCTATGTTCATCTTAGTATAGATTTGACGTCAGCATATTCAGGACAAGTGCATATTAGTTGGTTCTCCCTCTTCGACCAGTGAAGTGTTTCCATACTGACGGTACTCAGTGGCACCTAGTTAACTACTCATCTTGCCTTTTCCTTAGACTCGAGTGGCGCCCAGAGTACGCAGACCTACCAGCTGCAATATCCTCTCCGAGTGCAGGTTCTCACTATCTTTCGTTTTACTTGTAACCTTTTTCGATTGCAGTACTCCCCAGTGGGACCAGTCCAGCTAGCATATCTGCGTGCTCATTTCCAAACAAGCCTGCACAGAAATATAAACCCTTGTGACACTCAACACTGCAAACCTATGGATTGATGCAACCCATTTGATTTTCCACATGCAGTAAAACTAATTCCCTTCTCCTGAGCATGCTTTGCGAATACGATGCAGTGTTAACATGTGTGGCTGAAATTTTCTTCACCTATCTGAACAATGCAGTTACCGCCTCAAGCTCCATTCCGCTCTGTCAAAACTGCTGTACTTGTCTAAAAGCATCAGTACCTTCGAGAGTAAACTTTCAACTTTACCTAGCTTAACCTATCTCATTGGGCCATTTCTGGTCCACTTGTCTGTGCCCATAACGACTAGCAAAGACAGACTACAGATACCCTTTGTCTTTCTAGTGTGGGTGGACACTTTAACAGGCTTCACTGAACGGCTAAGATATTTCATATAGTCGTCTACAGTCTGATTCACTGTCCACATGTTCTGTATACTGATGAAGGTTTTTTAGCCGCAACCTTCATTTTATCTTTCACGATTATGTTATACTGTGAAGCTGACTTGTGCTATTCTACTAGACTGACGTTCACTGACTAACTTTTTACCCCACTAGGATATCCGACTGAGCAATAAACACCCGGTGACACTAAGTGCCACCATTCTGATGAGGATAACCCGTGGAGAGGTCCCAGAAACCCCATTCAACCGCTAGGTTATATTAGGGCCCCCGGCAACAACCAGGGTGGGGCATCAAAATATCGAAACATTCTTCCCACATAGAGACGACGAGTAGAATTGCTTTTTTGATGTTTCAATTTATCACAGTAATATAGTGTTTGTCCCAACCCACCCCTCATTTTTCCCTAGCTATCATCGCAGGAAGTGACGTCAGGGGATATTTCGTGCACTCCTTGGTTGATGGATTTGCCTTGGACCAGACATACACCATCAAAACAGGACTTTACTTTGTGGACATGGATACCAAAGACAGACCCCGCTACCCACGTTCCTCGGCCACGTTTTACAAGATGCTGGTTGCGAAAAGAAGTTTTGATGACAAACTTATAAACTTCAGAGCCTGTAAGTTGTCCGTGAACAAGTACGATTCAAGGGAAGTTACTGTGTTGCGTGTTGAAAATCTAAAATCCAATCAACTGTGATTAAAAATTTTAATTTTATTAGGTGATATAAACAAAAATGCTAACTGATGTTGAACTGCGTTGTGTTGAGTCAAGAATTGACATCACAGCACTCGGGGCATTCCCATGCATGCTCCGTCCTCATCTTCAGCAGCCTGCGCACAGCTCCAATACTCATGGTACCGGTCACAATCTGGTTATATGTCTGTCTTGTCTTTTCTCTGAGTGTAGTGAGCCGGCTAAACCCTTTGGTTACACCCAGGTACCTCATTCTCTGCAGGCTATAATAATCTTGTTTCTCTATTGATTCCGTTGCTTGTTCCCAAAGGGCCTTGACCACATCTGCCTTGTCGTGTATCAATTCACCATACAGTGGTGCAGATCCACCAAATCTGTCTGCCTTTCGTTACCCACCATGCCGAAAAGATCAAAAGTATGCTTACTACCCGTGACTTTTCCAGCGAGGCTTGCCACTCTGCTCGAAGTATGCCTGTATGTATGAAGGGGAAAACGGTTGTAAGGAGTGAAGCCAAGCAGGCAATACGTAAAACAGGCTTGCGTACCCAATTCTTAATCCTTTGAAAACAAAGTTTGTTCCTTCGTTCGCTTTATAGATCAAATGACACTTGACTGGTGTTACGGCAATTTTCACACTCACTTTCTTTATATCCCAGGAATATTCCTGGTAAAACTGTTAGGTTGCGTCGTCATGAGAGCACGGATGAGTTGCGAAAACCTTATATTCTAGTGGAACTTCGAGCAGTGACAATTGAGCGAACATATGATGAGATCTTTCATGAATATACCCGAAATTGTGATTGGTGGTCTTAACACAGACAACCAACGTTATACTGATGACGGGATTTAAATAGCGACAAGCCAGATAGAACCACACAGGTTAATAGATACAGTGGTGGTAGCATTAACATGGCTTGGTACTCAAAAGTTCACACACGTATGTTTTCTTCTTAGTGACTCGATGGATATGCTTTGAAAAATCCCAGCTGAATTTATTAGGCAAGAATGGATTGCAACACTAAGTAAGCACTTCACGAACAACTGCTATAACCTGCATCTTTGTGCAAGGTTATGCGGGTGTTCAAGGGAACAAGCGTGCAGACTATCTTGCTGACACTGCAGTTGCTATGGCTGGTCCAGTACTGGACAGAAGTGATTTTATCAATACCATGCGCTGCACTTACAGTACTGAGGAGCACGCCAAAGGACATGACTCCGTATCCCTGACTAGACTGATGGACATGGGGGTGCAGCCTGGAGTTGTAAGAAATGAACATTTCACTAAGGGGACAAGACGTTTCATTAACCAACGCAGAACAGGTGTCATCAGTCGTTTTACACTTGTGGAGCTTTTGAGAAGGAGATCGGGGCACCTATGCATCTGTTCGAAGTGCTGTGATGATTATCTTCTCTAATCACTAATCAGGTGTGGTAGAAAGTGATAGAATCGGCCTCAGCATGAAAAATAGGAGGATGGAAGAAATGGTAATATCAAAGAAAAAGAATCATGCCTAAGAGTTAAATAAAAAAAGAAAAAGATCAAAAGCGTTATTTTACAAGCTAATAAACTTCAGTATATAGGCACATGGAAAACGTCCGAGGGAAGATACATAACAAAGATAAAGAACAGAATGGCATATGCTAAAAACTGTACTTTATAAAAGGAAGAACGTTTTATGCAATAAATCCACTAAAGGTTCGAAAAAAAAAAAAAGAATTCTTAAATGCTATATAGAACCGGTTTTAACATATGCTTGTGTAAGCTTGTCGACGTCTGTGGCTTTGGTGTTGCGAACGCGCTTTGTAATGCCGGGGTGCCGGGTTCGATCCCAGCTGCGGGCTTTGTGCCTTGCGTTGGTTTCGACAGTGGTATCAAGAGGCCGACCGTCCAGGAGGATTTAAAAAACTACTGGACGTAAATTTGCTTAGAAAAACCACATCCTGTGCTGTGCCTACAAACAAGAGTCTAACATGCTTTGTCACCTCACACGATCACTAGAATCACAGATCAGGTTTATGTCCGCCCATTTGTACGACTACGCCAACTATGTATTAATATGTTTGCCAGACATTACCAAGTGCGTGAGTCCATTCCTTCTCACAATAGGTACGATCAACAGCAACTGTGTAACTCTAATTTCTCTAAACAGTTTACAAGTTTCACCCGTCTCGAGGAGGAATAGCTTGTTTGTTTTCAATCATTTCAAGATATTTTTTTGGACTTTACTTTAAAAAAAAAAAAATGCAGCTGATAGTCTGTGTTTTCTAGCTGGTCTGCTTATTGACGTGGATAAAACAACTTCTTCTTTCTTTTTCTTCTCTTTCACTTTATTGTACCCCAATGAAGTGTCGAGGGGAGATGCAACTTTTGTTGATGAGCTCGGTCAAGAGCACTATCAAGATTACGTTCATTTATGTAAGGCTGTCCTTAAAGGTATTCCGCTCACTCTATAAGCTTTGTAACGTTTCAGTATGGCTCGCTGTGGCAGACAGTACCAGGGCTGTGCAAATCATTTCATTTGTTGTTCTTTGATGACCTAAAAGACTACTACCTTTATTCCTAGCATCGACTGATTCCATGATTTCGTATTTTGTCTTTCCTTGAAACTCCTGCAGCTCTTCTAAAGCTTTTCATCTCTGTTGTTACAATTTTACGTTTATTAGAGGATTTAAGTGTCCATGGCTGGCACTGATAGCATAGTGTTGGCCAAAAAATAGTTCTGATAAGATTCACTGAAGTACTCCGTGGTATCTGCTTGTGTGTCAACAGGGGAAATAGTTGCCCCAGTACTTGATTAGCTTTGGAACATCTGGAGCTAATTTATTTGTCCAGTTTGCCATCGGATGTGAAAATTGCTCCCAAATACTTGAGTTCCTTTTTCTTGAGGCTTTTTTTTTTTTTTAAATTTTATTTCTAAACTGTCTTTCTGTCTTCCTATTACCATTGTCTCTGTCTTCGTAGTGTTTATTTTCCTATTATATTCTTCCCCTTTCTTATTAATTTAATTTAGGTGGTTCTGTAGACATTCTGGACTTTTTGCGATGAGTACCTGGTCGTCGGCGAATACAAATTCTGTAATATCTTCTTCATGATTAAAGTTCGTTTCCTTACATATAGTATCCATGTATGTGACCAAAAGTAGTGGCAATAGTACACAGCCCTGACGCACACCAGAATTCACTATAAGAAACAGATAAAAAACATAAAATAAATAGATAAATCAGACGCAAGCATAGAATCGTTTTAAAATATCCGATCTCATAAATATTAGCCAGCCTAACAAGGCCGTATACATATAGGTATTACGAATATAGCCATATATTCATCTATACATCCATTTAAAGCAACGGTTCTCAACCTGTGGGTCGAACGACCCTTTCACAAAGATCGCCTAAGACCGTCGGAAAACATATTTATTGAAGTTATGAAGTGGCAACGGTTTTATGTTTGTGGGTCGCCTCAACGTGAGTAACTGTATTAAAGGCTCGCGGTATTAGGAAGGTTGAGAGCCACTGGTTTAGAGTAAAATCTGACCAGTCAACGACTGTCCACAGAACCGCAAATTAAATCAATGATGTCTGTTGTTTCAGTTCCCCATGATCGGCACGAGTTTTATTATGGACGTTTCCCTAGCAATTTTCTGTGGGGAGCCGCCACTTCTGCATATCAAATAGAAGGTGCCTGGAATGAAGATGGTGAGCGACATATTTAAATAGTTATTTAAACACAAAACAAAACTTTCAGTTTTTAACGGCGAGAAAGGAAAATACGAATACAAATGCAACCAGACGAATCATACTAGCGTTGACATCCGTTGAATAGTCAAATCAAAATTTCTCCTCCTCCTCTTCCTCCCCCGCCGTTCGTCCTAAGCATCCTTCTTCTACGCCTCCTCCTCTATCGCCTCCTCCTAACTGTACTCCTCCTAATTATTCTCTTCCAAATTCTCCTCGTCCTTATTCTCCTCCTGCTCTTTCTTCCCCTCCTCCCTCTCACCCGTCCACTCCTGCTGTTCCTCCTGCTCCTCCTCATGTTTCTTCTTCTTTCCTCCTGTTTCTTCTTCTTTTCCACCTGTTTCTTCTTCTCCTCCTGTTTCTTCTTTTCCTCCTGTTTCTTCTTCCCCTCCTGTTTTTTCTTCTTCTCCTCCTTTCCCTCATTCTCCTCCTCCTCCATCTCCTTCTCCCCCTTATCCGCTTCATCCTCATTTTTTTCTTCTTCTTCTTCTTCTTCTTCTTCTTCTTCTTCTTCTTCTTCTTCTTCTTCTTCTTCTTCTTCTTCTTCTTCTTCTTCTTCTTCTTCTTCTTCTTCTTCTTCTTCTTCTTCTTCTTATTATTATTATTATTATTATTACTATTACTATTGCTACTACTACTACTACTACTACTACTACTACTACTACTACTACTACTACTACTACTACTACTACTACTACTACTACTACTACTACTACTACTACTACTACTACTACTACTACTACTACTACTACTACTACTACTACTACTACTACTACTACTACTACTACTACTACTACTACTACTACTGATGCTACTACTACTACTACTACTACTACTACTACTACTACTACTACTACTACTACTACTACTACTACTACTACTACTACTACTACTACTACTACTACTGATGCTACTACTACTACTACTACTACTACTACTACTACTACTACTACTACTACTACTACTACTACTACTACTACTACTACTACTACAACAACTACTACTACTACTACTACTGCTGCTGCTGCTTCTACTGATGCTACTACTACTACTACTACTACTACTACTGATGCTGCTACTACTACTACTACTACTACTACTACTACTACTACTACTACTACTACTACTGCTGCTGCTGCTGCTGCTGCTGCTGCTTCTACTGATGCTACTACTACTACTACTACTACTACTACTACTACTACTACTACTACTACTACTACTACTACTACTACTACTACCACTACTACTCCTACTACTACTACTACTACTACTACTACTACTACTACTACTACTACTACTACTACTACTACTGCTGCTGCTGCTGCTGCTGCTTCTACTGATGCTACTACTACTACTACTACTACTACTACTACTACTACTACTACTACTACTACTACTACTACTACTACTACTACCACTACTACTCCTACTACTACTACTACTACTACTACTACTACTACTACTACTACTACTACTACTACTACTACTACTACTACTACTACTACTACCACCACTACTAATACTACTACTGCTGCTGCTTCTACTGATGCTACTACTACTACTACTACTACTACTACTACTACTACTACTACTACTACTACTACTACTACTACTACTACTACTACTACTACTACAACAACTACTACTACTACTACTACAACTACTACTACTACTACTACTACTACTACTACTACTGCTGCTGCTGCTTCTGCTGATGCTACTACTACTACTACTACTACTACTACTACTACCACTAGTACCACTACTACTACTACTACTACTACTGCTGCTGCTTCTACTGATGCCACTACTACTACTACTACTACTACTACTACTACTACTACTACTACTACTACTACTACTACTACTGCTACTACTACTTATTTTTTTTTCCCTTTCTCTTAGACTACTACTACTACTTATTTTTTTTTCCCTTTCTCTTAGACCGCTCTGTTTGTAGCCTAGTGCACTAGTCACAGCAGTACCCCCCCCCCTCCCCCAGCGTTACACCTAAGGACATCATGCAGTGTAGATATCAAACAAGACTTACGTCAGGATGTGCAAGGATATTTTAAAGACACCAATCAAGACTAAGGTTAGGGAATGCTAGGACCTTTTATAGACATACATTAACACTAAAGTCAGGGAGTGCAAGGACCTTTTATAGACATCAATTAACACTAAAGTCAGGGAGCGCAAAGACCTTTTATAGAAATCAGTCAAGACTAAGGTTAGGGAATGCAAGGACCTTTTATAGACATCAATCAACTCTAAAGTCAAGGAGTGCAGGGAACTTTTATAGACATCAATTAACACTTAAGTCAGTGAGTGCAAGGACTTTTCATAGCCATCAGTCAAGACTAAGTTTAGGAAGTGCAAGGAAATTTTATAGACATCAATCAAAACTAACGTCAGGGAGTGCAAGGACCTTTTATAGACATCAGTCAAGACTAAGGTTAGAGAGTGCAAGGACCTTTTAAGGACATAAAAGACTAACTTCAGGGATTGCAAGGACCTTTTATAGACATCAATCAAGACTAACGTCAGGGAGTGCAAGGGCCTTTTATAGACATTAGTCAAGACTAAGGTTAGGGAGTGCAAGGACGTTTTATAGACATCAATCAAGACTAAGGTTAGAGAGTGCAAGGACCTTTTATAGACATCAAAGGCTAACGTCAGGGAGTGCAAGGACCTTTTATAGACATCAATCAAGACTAAGGTTAGAGAGTGCAAGGACCTTTTATAGACATCAATCAAGACTGACGTCAGTGTGTGCAAGGACCTTTTATAGACATCAAAGGCTAACGTCAGGGAGTGCAAGGACCTTTTATAGACATCAATCAAGACTAAGGTTAGAGAGTGCAAGGACCTTTTATAGACATCAATCAAGACTAAGGTTAGAGAGTGCAAGGACCTTTTATAGACATCAATCAAGACTAAGGTTAGAGAGTGCAAGGACCTTTTATAGACATCAATCAAAACTAAGGTTAGAGAGTGCAAGGACCTTTTATAGACATCAATCAAAACTAAGGTTAGAGAGTGCAAGGACCTTTTATAGACATCAAAGGCTAACGTCAGGGAGTGCAAGGACCTTTTATAGACATCAATCAAGACTAAGGTTAGAGAGTGCAAGGACCTTTTATAGACATCAATCAAGACTAAGGTTAGAGAGTGCAAGGACCTTTTATAGACATCAATCAAGACTAAGGTTAGAGAGTGCAAGGACCTTTTATAGACATCAATCAAAACTAAGGTTAGAGAGTGCAAGGACCTTTTATAGACATCAATCAAAACTAAGGTTAGAGAGTGCAAGGACCTTTTATAGACATCAATCAAAACTAGGTTAGAGAGTGCAAGGACCTTTATAGACTCAATCAATTATTTTTTTTGTTAGAGAGTGCAAGGACCTTTAATAAACATCAAAGGCTAACGTCAGGGAGTGCAAGGACCTTTTATAGACATCAGTCAAGACTAAAGGCAGGGAATGCAAGGACATTTTATAGACATCAATCAAGACTAAAGTCAGGGAGTGCAAGGACATTTTATAGACATCAATCAAGACTAAAGGCAGGGAATGCAAGGACATTTTATAGACATCCATCAAAACTAAAGTCAGGGAGTGCAAGAACCTTTTATAGATATCAATCAACGCTTAAGTCAGGGAGTGCAAGGACCTTTTATAGACATCAATCAAGATTAATGTCAGGGAATGCAATGACCTTTTATAGACATCAATCAAGACTGACGTCAGTGAATGCAAAGATATGTTTCCATGCTTCAGTACTGTGCATATGGTGCTAGACCTATGTTTTGTTGACCAATTGATATCCAGTGTGTTATGTGGTCAGCACCCCGCCAGCCACATTTTCTTTCCGGGGCTCTACCTGATACCCATATTTGCCTGGAAAGACCTGGGAGCCAAGGCTATTTTTAAGAATGTAAAAAAAAAATTCCAGCTGAGTTCGGATTTGAACCTACGTTCGTCCCAAGCGAACGTCTAGCGCTACACACCGGCGGCTCCAAACTTTAGGGACAGTAAGAGGTAAAGAATATGATGACATTGCACATTTAAAGATCAAATTAAGAATGGTTCTATGATGAGCATTTGTAACAGTAATTACTCCGTACAGAAATACCGATGAATCTGCCTTACATCGATTTGTCATTGAAAATACTTGCACTGTTAGTGTTAAAATATTTTATAACTAAATCTGATTAAGTGTTATGTTTCTATCTAGGTAAGGGAGTTAGTATATGGGACACCTTCGCTCACAATAATAAAATTGAGGGTAACCAAACTGGAGACGTTGCCGCTGACAGCTACCACCTCTACCAGGAGGATGTCAACAATCTGGAGAAACTGGGGGTTAGTAGAATTGTAAATACTAATACTGATTGTCACAGCTTTGGGCCAGTTTCGGTAATCGCCCGATCTGTGTGTAGTGAACACAATATGACCATTTATGGGGATGTTTGTGAAGGAGAGTCGAGGAAGAAAGCTACTGGATACCCCGACGTGTATGCCGTGACTAAGAACGTTTTTAACAAAAATGTCTATCACAGTGGACTTTGCAGAACCAACCCTAACAGCCCCTGGCTGTTGTGTGGTTTTTCTAGGCAAATTTATGTCCAATAGTTTGCCATTGCTTACTGGACGGTCGGCTTTCTTGGTACCACTGTCGAAAAACGCTACGCATATGGGCCGCCGTGGTATGCTGACCCGGCATGGCTTTACGAAGCGTTCGCATCGACTTAGTCACAGAGACGACCATCACAGTGGAAAAGGAATTGTTAAACGGTAGCAGGCGCGGTTCTTTTCTGTTAAGCGACCACATCACGTGAGATTTCGGGCAATCCCATATTATAGGGGTTTAGTGTTAAATGAATACCGACTACTACTTACCCTAACCCCTCTATACTGTTGGAATGCCCTAAACCTCGCTTGATGTGGTCGCTTAAAAGAAAAGAACCGCCTGTGCTTGCCACCAATTGTTTGTGAAGTTAGCAACTTCGTTGGATATTCTGTCGAGCAAGTGATTAACTGGCAATGTTTGATATTCGAGCTGAATCCTCTCACTGTTTATCTTGTCAACGAAAAAGTGATAGGGGAGGGGGCTACCTGGTCTCGAGGCATGGTGTCCGCCTGGAGTGCAGCAGGTCCCGGGTTCAAAACCTGGTTAAAGATGGGTTTATTTAACACGGACTTCTAGTAATTTCCCCCTGGTCTTTGTGTAGTAAGACTGGGCGCCCGTGTGTGTTGCTGAGCTCGTAAAAATCTCTTGGAAGTTCGAAATCGAAAAGAGTAGCCTAACGGCGCTGCCCGATCAAAATTTGGAGTTTAAAATCTACTCAAAGTAGTTCAGAATCCTCGCCGGTGCAACGGAGTTCGTGAACTGCGCTGAGATTCTTCAGACTCTGGCTTGAGTTAGAAGAAGAACAGAACACTTATGAGTTACACCCGTGATGTTGATCCGTTGAAAAAACAAACAAGTGACAGGGGACAGGGGACACAACCTAGTAACAGCGCGTGAACATTTTGTTTGTTAACTTTGGGCTCTAGACTATTTATCTTGTTCGAAGTGTGGTTTTTTTTTTTGTCTGGTGTTGTATCGACTGGTAGAACTGTAGTACCAGTCATCTGTAATTTTGCTTCCCCGCCCTTGAGGTGTGGGCCGCACATAACAAAGTTCATTACAGTTTAAAATACATTTCTTGGTGTCATCTTCACAATGGAGGTTGACAGCAATGCATTCACGGCTGCCTTTGGAAATATTACACAATAATTGGTTATGCCTCATTATCCCCCCCCCCCCCCCCAACAGTCAGTTGAATTTTAAGGGGGCAGTAGATAGGCTGCATACAGTCGTGGGACCTAGGCTGCATGCAGTCGCGGGACCTAGGCTACATGCAGTCGTGGGATGTTGGTGGGTTGGGGTTAGGCCCAGTTCTGGATGTTTTGGGGTAGTTAAAAACCCAAGAAAGCCGGAAACCCCTCTTTTACAACCCTCAAAATTATTGGACTGTCTTGTAAAATCACCTGGGGAGGGGGGCTATTGGTAAAGCACCATGGTGTAATAGTTAGACGCGGGCATTTAAAAAAAATGACCTTGGCTCCCAGATCGACCCAGCCTTGAGAGGGTACCAGGTGCAGTCCCGGGAAGTTAATGCTGACCACATCACCCATCTTGTGCCGATTGGTCTCTAAAATATAGGTCTAGCCCGATATGCACTATAGCCTAGAAGCGTGGAAAAGGGTCCTTTACTTTTTTAATTGAGTCCACTAGCAAACCAGACTTACTGTGATCCATTATAAAAGTTACTGACTTTTGCGTAAATTGTTCAACCCTTAATGTCGACAGGGTACACAACACCGTCTCAAAGAATCAGATGGACAAACTAGAGTGCATACAGAATGCAGCTATGCTGGTCATTCTGGGTTGTACCAGAGACACCCCAGTGATGTCAATGCGATACATTTTTGGTTTGCCGACTGCTGCAGGTAGGCACAAGGTGCTGCAGGCAAAGTCATATCTCAGGGTAGCTGCAGACACAGACCACCCTCTTTATGAAGCTGTGGGTGCAGTTAAGGGTCAGCGGCTGATAAGAGGGAGGTCATGGATGGCTCAGGCATCAAACAGATTTGAATCCTTGAGAACATTAGGCGAGGAGAGGAGTGGGTCAAAGTGCCACCTGAACAGTCAGACCTGTGTAGAGTCATAATCACACTGAGCCGGGAATGCAGAGACTGGCCAAATGGTGGCAGAGGTGGAAATTCAGCAATTAATTCAAGATAATGCTCGCTCATAGGATTTGATCATTTGCACAGACGGTTCAGTGTCAAGAGGCAAAAAAAGTGCTTGGGGTTTTTTAGCAAAAGAATTGGTCGACGTTTGGTGCAGGAGAGCCTAGCATATGATACTTCAACATCCAGCTTAAGAATGGAGGTGGAGGCGGTCACTGCAGCTTTCCGCTGGTTAGAGAACACGACACACACACACAAACATCCTGATTGTAACTGACTCAGAAAACATGCTGAGGAAGATCAGGACAGGCATGCTTCCTGCAGAGTGGCATGCCTCGCCTGCGGAGAACACGGGCGAGGAGTATTGTCTGGATTTTTTTCACTTGGCACGCCGGTGTATTGGGAAATGAACAGACGGACAGACTGGCTGGCTCTGCACAGCTTGGTGGAATACTGATACACGATAGGGCAGACGTGGTTGGTGCCTTGTCGGAGAGCATGTACAGTTCTAATTACCACCAGATGGATCACCACGGTCTGGTGAGATTGATGCAAAAATTGAGGTGGGGGGGGGGGGGGGTTAGGAGAGATACTGGCAGATGCTCGAGGCTCAAAGGAAAGGTATGACGGACGTTTAATCAGAATGCTACTGGTACTATTAGTATCGGAACTCTTCGCTGGCTGCTGAAAATGGTGACCCAGCGCTTATGGGAATGCCACGAGTGCTGTGATGTCGGTTCTTGAATCAAATCAAATCACATCAAATCAGAGTACACAATCAAGTCGTCTTCTGTTTCTTAGGCGTTGCGAACGCGCTTCATAATACCGGGGCGCCGGGTTCGATCCCAGCTGTGGACGATTTGTCTGCACTGGTTTCGAGTTTTACTAAACGTAAAAAGTGCCAGGAAAAACCTCAACAAAAATATACATGCTGTGACTGGTTCTGCAACGTCCTGTAAAGGATACACCACTAACTTTTTTAAAAAACACAAAAACACTGCAGCCAACACACTAGTGGCCGTGAGACACAATTTGAAAACTTCTCTCTAAGTGTTAAATGACAGCCAGACACTTTTTACTCTTGTCAAGAATTGACATCACAGCACTCGGGGTATTCCCACGCATGCTCCGTCCTCGTCTTCAGCAGCCAGCGCAGAGTTCCAATACTGATGGTACTGGTCACAATCTGGTTATATGTCCGTTTTGCCTTTCCTCTGTGTGGTGTAAGCCGGCCAGACCCTCTAGTTACACCCAGGTGCCTCATTCTCTCCAGGCCATAATAATCTTGTTTCTCTACTGATTTCGTTGCTTGTTCCCAAAGGGCCTTGACCACATTTGCAGCTTTAAGTGAGAATTCTTTTACCGTCTTCTATAAAGAAATCAGCGGCCTCCGTGGCTAAGGCGTTGCGAGTCCGACTCGTAAGCCAGCATACCGCGATCGAAACCCACTGCAGGCTGCGTGGATTTTTGTCGTGGTATGGGGCGTCGCTGGTCGACCCAGCCTGAAATGGGTACCAGGATGGGCTGTCCTGGGAAAGTAAAGACAGCCGGCGTAATGCTGACCACATTACCCACAGAGTGCTGATGGTCTGTAAAAATATGGGACGCTCTGCCCATATGCCCGATGCGCCGAAGGCGTGAAAAGGGAACTTTACTTTTTACTTTTTTATAAAGAAATCAAAACTTTTAAAAATGTGGTGCTTTTTTGTTTTAAATTTACAGGTTGATTTCTACCGGTTCTCCATCGCCTGGACTCGTATTCTGCCAAACGGGACAATTGACAACATAAACCAAGCCGGCATAGATTACTATAACCGCCTTATCGATGCCCTACTAGCTAAAAAGTAAGCTGTTATTCTATGTTATTCAGTTGTTTCGTTAGCTGGTTAGTAATTGGTTTCATTGATGATAAGTAGGTAGGTGGATTCGTAGGTTGGCTTATAGGTAAGTAAGCTGGCGGTTTAGTTGATTGATTAGTTGGTAAATATTATTTTAGTAGATTAATTAATGTTTGTGTTTGTGGGCTGGTTGATTGGTAGATTATTGTATAGTTGTTTGTGTGCCAGATTGGTTTGTTGATATGTAGTTCAGCAAAACTAAGTACTTTTTTATTCTTCTGTGAATGAATTAGTAAACCCTAGGCTGCATTTGCCGTGCCTATTTTAGAAATTTACGTCTTGTCTTGTCTTGTCTTGTCTTGTCTTGTCTTGTCTTGTCTTGTCTTGTCTTGTCTTGTCTTGTCTTGTCCACAATTGCCTCACAGCGTAGTAGGGAGTCGCAGTTTTCTATCCTGGGCCAGGTGTGTTGCACGTGTTGTTGTTAGTCCGTGTTGCCTCAGGATCTCTGATATATTGTCTATCCATCGTACTCTCGGTCTGTCTCTTGCTCTAGGGCATTCCTGCGCGACCTCTTTGTGTTTACTGTGTTTAATGGCGGGCTGGTTGTCAAGCCCTTCATCCTCCGATCTTTGATGGACTTTTTCATACTCCTGATCGTCGTATCTGCGGTACTTAATAGCATGTTTATGTGAACTTTCACTACCCTACCGGTTTGCTGGACCTGTCATAGTATCATTGTAGAAAGAACACAGTTTAATCCAAAAAAAAATCACATTAAACACATCACTGAAATAACATGACCGATCACGCCGCCATCTTGCATCGGGCTTTTACATCAACTCTTTAAAAATGCGAATTTATCACATCATACGCTAGTCATCCGCAATATGTCAACACGCACGTTATAAAGAAATGAAACTGCATTTTTATGGTGACATATCTTCTCCAGCATCATCCCCATGGTCACCCTGTATCACTGGGACCTCCCTCAAACACTCCAGGACTACGGCGGGTGGACAAATGAAAGCATGGTGAACATATTCGGGGAATACGCCAGAATTTGTTTTCAGCATTTTGGGGACAGGGTAAGTATATGTATCAGATGAAACTGTTGCTCTCTTCTGCTTCTTCTCCTCCCCCTCCTCTTGCTCTTTTGCCTCCGTCTCTCTCCCTCCCCCTCTCCTCTCCGCCACTACCTCCACTACCTCAACCTCTTCTGCCTCTCCCCCTCCGCCTCTCACCATCCACCGCCTCCACCGCCTGCGCCTCTTCAGCCAAATGCGTTTTCACATCCTATGTATCTACAATGTCTTCTATCCACATTCGCAGAGGTCGGCCTCTGTTCCATTCTGTGGAAACTGCACCCTGTATGACTATTCTCTGCAGGCTTAATAAGGCTGAAATACTTACACTTTTGGCACGGGATGCTGTTTATGGGCCAATTCTCCTCGATATTCAGATCATGCTTCTTGTTTTCCCCCCCTGGTCCATGGTTTTCATTGTGTGTGTGTGTGTGGGTGTGGGTGTGTGTGGGTGTATGGGTTTGGGTGTGTGTGGGTGTGTGTGTATGAGTATGTGTGTGGGTGGGTGTGTGTATGCCTCTAGGTGGTGATAAAGAGTAACTTAGGGAGGTGGAGTGGAAAAAAAGGGGGAGGGGGAGTTGTAAGGTGGAGGCAAAGCTGAGCACCCCCCCTCCCTTCCCCCCAATGTGTTCATCGTGCCTGGTTCACTTGTCTGTGGGGAGCTACGGTGGTGTAGTCGCTAGACGCTCGCCAGCCGGTCTGAAGATCTCTGAAGGGCAGGGAACGACCTTAGCTTCTAGGCCGACCCCGCCTGCAATTAGTAAAAAATGTAAAGGACCCTTTTCCACGCCTTAAGGCGTATAGGGCATATAGGGCTAGACCTATATTTTAATAGACCACAAGATGAGTGATGTGGTCAGTATCACGCCGGCCGCCTTCACTTTCCTAGGACTGCACCCGGTACCAACTCAAGGCTGGGTCTACCTGGGAGCCAAGGTCATTTTTGAAATAAGTCCGGCTCCGCCAGGGAGCGAACCCACGACTTTCCGATCCGCGGCGAGCGTCTAGCCGCTCGGCCATGGTGACTCCCGCCGCCTGCAATAGCCAGTAGGAAATGTGGGAAGTTAAGATCGACCAGCCTGATATTAACCACATTACCCATGGAGCTCTCTCTGACTGATGTATTTTTTTTTTTTAACGTATCCAGAAACCATGAGTTGTAAACCCTTTGGTTCGGTACTATGGATATCGCAACCCTTCGGCCTTGATTCCATTATAGGTACCGTTAATCTGGGAGAAATGTGGCTTTTCTGCCTACCCCCGGGAGTGAACCCGGACCACAAGGAGTTCGTCACCCGGCCGCCGCGAATGTCAGGTTTAACCAACTTCGCTAGAGAGCCGGGCCTGACTGATGTATACAACTATGAGAGCAGCGTCGTGTGCTAGATGCGACACTAGCAGCAACAAGGATCCTTTGCTTTTATGTACAGTGATACCTCCGTTCAGGAACAAATCAGCCCACGAACACAATTTCCGAACAAAATGTGACTCGAGCCCCGAAAATACCTCGGCGCACGAACACAATTTCTGAACAAAATGTGACTCGACCCACGAAAAAACACACAAACATGGCTTTGGCGCCATGTTTTCTACTCGCGAACAAAATCAGTTGTGCTCATGTTTGTACTCGGGTATTTCACGTGCCGAGATCAAAGACTTTTGTAGCGAGCAGAGTGAATCGCAGGTTTTCTGTTGACAAGCACAACCCTAAAACAAACTGTGACTAGTAAAGCGGTCTACCTTTTTAATGACAATATGATGTCCAATTTTCAGAAAACTGTCTAAAAATAGATTATCCCTACAATATTTGTCTCTAGTATAGACTTCGCTGTTTGTTTAATTCATTTAGCGACCCGTTAAGTTTCGCTTGCACCCTGTTTATCTTGGCCAAAAGTATTGGCTTGATATGATGTGATTGGGACCGTCTTGGAAGACATGATCTGTTGTCTTAAGTGCCAATCCACATGTGTTTGTCAATCTTAAATTTTGTGGATTGTTGTAAAAACACCAGCCACCGAGACAGCTGTCTAACCACTTTACAGGATATGTAAAGGGAAAAACACCCACACCCATTCGTTCCCACCCACCCACCTACCACACATACACACACACACACCCCCCACACACACACAGAAATATCTACACAGTTGCTCGATTTCTTCCTCTTCGAAAATTTAGTCTACATATCTCTCTACAATCTACCGGTGTCAGAAACTATCAACGACAAAGGTCGAGTTGTATTGTATATTTTATTTCATGTATATTTTTTACCCACATAAATCCATTATAACAAGCCAAAGGGACAATATGCTTCTGGAACAGGCGAACGGATTAATCGGATATGCATGCATTTAAATGAGAAAAACTCTTCTGGTTCAGGAAGAATTTCAGTTCGCGAATGGAGTCAAATAATTAATTACGTTCGAGACCTGAGGTAGCACTGCATACCATTATATATGTATTACTTTCTTTTTATTCCTTTACATTTTTACGTGTACTTTACTTCTGCAGGTGAAGCACTGGATCACCTTCAACGAACCCTATGTGTTCACAGTCTTCGTCTACGAAACTGGAATGCACCCTCCTGGAAAATCCAGACCAGGCATCGTAGTTTATCAAGCTGCCCATAACGTTCTTCGAGCCCACACGAGGGCCTATCACATCTACAAGGACAGTTTCAAGAACAGCCAAAAAGGTTTGCGTATTTGTTTCTTTTCAACGTTTCCCTAACAAGCGTGTCGTAAATGGCAATTAATTAGTGGGTTTCTCCTTAGAGGTCAGGCTGAATTTGCCTAAGATGCGATAAACCAACAGTTTGCATACAAGTAAGCAGAATTGGTAAAATGGGTACGTACAAAAAACTCAAGTTCGGGAAAAATTCTTTAAATTTCAGAAGTAGAAAAGCTACTAGAACTGTGCGTCTCAGATTACAGTCAGGAAACGGGAAGAAACAGAGGATATCCAGCCACATATGGCGTTGTTTGAAAACCACAGTGTTCAGAAAACTGTTGATGACAAAGGCTACATGTTGAAAACGAGAGGATCTACTTGAATAGACAGAGGATAACTATACATGGTTTGCTCTATATTCACTACTCGCTTGCAGAAATAGCTACCCAAACAAGAGCTCCGTTACGCCATTGATGTTCTTCGGAGATGAAAAACAGTTGCACTCCTATAAGACGAAACTCCACAGGGGAGCATGTACAGCAGGAGTCTACCAACCATCAGTAGAAGTGATCCATCGTCCACAATTGTTTCATTGTAAGGCCCTTTGAGGAACAAGCAACGGAATCAGTAGAGAAACAAGATTATTATGGCCTGGAGAGAATGAGGCACCTGAGTGAAACCAGAGGGTTTGGCAGACTCGCTACACTCAGAGGAAAGGCGAGACGGACCTATAACCAGATTGTGACCGGTACCATCACTGTTGGAACTATGCGCTGGCTGCTAAAGATGAGGATGGAGCACGCATGGGAATGCACCGAGTGATGTGATGTTAATTCTTGACTTAAATAACTTACTAACTAACAATTGTTTCGGTCCACGGGCTCCTAGACAATTTCAGAGGGTGGGCTCACCTGAGTTCATGAAGATCAGGCTTGATCTGCTCCTGCTGCACGTATTACCGGATGTTCTCAGACAGGGACAAGACGAAAGTGGTGACTCTGCAACAGGTACAAAAAGATACGAAGTTTATTTACATAGTCGCTGCGGTAGCCTATAAGATCCGTCAGCATACCTTGACGACCAAGTGACAAGCTTAGGTTGGTTAATCGTACACATGTTAGACTCTGTCCCTATCCGAAAGTAAACACCATCCGGTAATTTCGTGCAGCAGGGTACCAGCCCTGAGCTTCATGAACTCAGGTGGGCCCACCTCCGAAAGTGTCTAGGAGAATCGTGGGCCGAAACACTTGTCGACGAGGATAACTTCTACTGATGACTGGTAGATCCCTGCTGTACTTGCTCCCTGTGAGTTTATTCCTATTGTTAGCAATTGGCAGAGGGACACCGGCAGACAATTCGGACACGATGGACTTAAGGGATAAGACTCCTAAAATGAACTAACGGCTGTATCTGCAATCAAGGCCTGGTGATAAGCAAAGAGTAATTCCTTGATGTTACTTTTAGTTTGAGTCCTGGGCCAGGCATCAATGCTATACAGTCAGTGTAGATGATTGCCTATTTACACTGAAGGAAACCAGTTTAGGAGCCTCCTGGACAATGTCATTAAATGGCAATAAAAACGATGTATAGCAACTATTGTATATGAGCTGAGTTGAGTCGATTCTCCATCTTCTTTGCATTCACTAGGTGTAAACTCTGGCGAAAGGTTCTGGTTGTTCGTCCATGTTTGGACAGCAGTCCTATTCCAGAACCTGAGTGTTGTGTGTGCATCCGTTTTACAGATCTGACTCATTTGTATGCAACCTGCTGGTTCCTTGTCTCTCAGGCAGATGCACTCCGACTTCGATGAAAGCTCGCAATTAGTCGACTTTTACCACATGCTTTCGGGTGGTCAGTGGGTCTATTCTTGTTTTCCGTATAATAGGGCCCCGGAACCAACACGGGAAAAGTCGATTCAAAAACCGATATCACAACATTCGGGGCATTCCCATAAGCGCTCCATCCCTATCTTCAGAAGCTTACGCAGATTTCCAGTACCAATGGTGCAGGTCGCAGTCCGATTACTTGTCTGTCATGCCTTTCCTATGAGCGTCGAATTTCAGCTTTATCCCCTCATCAGTCCTCGCGGCATCACTCTCGCCAAACTGTGATGATCCGTTAGCTCCCCCAGATTTTACACGGGATCATAGAAATGTCCACATAAATAACTGCATCGACTGCCATGAGACATAGAAGGTGGAGTTATACTGGGCACACCGAGAAACGAAATGAGCACAGAATTACAAAATAAGCACTGAAATGGGAAACAAATGGTCTGAAAAACAGAGGATATCCAAGGGCAACATTGGGAAGAATACTATTACCAGAAGCTTAAGACTCTGCGCTGAACTTCATGTCAGAAATCGAGAGAGTTGTATTCAGTAGAGCGGAGTTGAAGAAGCGAATGCGAGCCCTGTGTGGCATCAAACGGCACACGATGATGATGTTAAGACACGTACATTTAAATTTGTCGCCGAAGCCCTGAGTCAGGTAACTTTGCTTCGTATGATTTTCTTGGCCGACAGTTGGCCAAGTAATATTAAAGTAAGTAAGTGAAGGACCTTTTTCCGCGCCTTTAGGTGTTTAGGGCATATAGGGCTAGACCTATATTCTTTAGACCAATCGGTACAAGATGGGTGATGTAGTCAGCATCACGCCGGTCGCCTTTACTTCCCAGGACTGAATCCGGTACCCACTTAAAGCTCGGTGAACCAAGGTAATTTTTTGAAAAAAGTCTTGCTCCGCCAGGGAGAGATCCAACAACCTTTCAGTCCGCAGGCAAGCGTTTAGCCGCTCCGCCACGGCGACGACCCCAGTAATATTGGATTCTGCAATATTGGAAATCGATGGCTGTTCTGGACTAAAGAAACCTTTACTTTAATCCACTAGGTGTGGTCGGCATCACACTGTCTGTTGAATTTATGGTGCCAATGACTGATTCGCCAGAGGATGCTGAAGCAGCCGACAGGGCAATGGAATTTAATTTTGGATGGTAGGTTTTTAAAATTGTCTTCTTATTTTCTTCATCTAATTACCATGGCGGCATGTTAGAGTTGATAAAAAAAGGAGGAAGGTTGGGGGAGGGGGGGGGGATAAAAGGTTGCCCTCACACAAACGTGTCGTAAAAGAGTCATACTTATAGGGGTTCTTCTCCTTCTTTTTTTCTTCTTCTTTCTTCTTCTTTTTCTTTTTCTTCTTCTTCTTCTTCTTCTTCTTCTTCTTCTTCTTCTTCTTCTTCTTCTTCTTCTTCTTCTTCTTCTTCTTCTTCTTCTTCTTCTTCTTCTTCTTCTTCTTCTTCTTCTTCTTCTTCTTCTTCTTCTTTTTTTCTTCTTTTCTTCTTTCTTCTTCTTCTTCTTCTTCTTTCTTCTTCTTCTTCTTCTTCTTCTTCTTCTTCTTCTTCTTCTTCTTCTCTTCTTCTTCTTCTTTCTTCTTCTTCTTCTTCTTCTTCTTCTTCTTCTTCTTCTTCTTCTTCTTCTTCTTCTTCTTCTTCTTCTTCTTCTTCTTCTTTTTCTTCTCCTCCTCCTCCTTCTCTTCCTTCTTCTCCTCCCTTTTCTTCTCCTTCTTTCTCTACTCCTTCTTCTTCTTCTTCTTCTTCTTCTTCTTCTTCTTCTTATTTTTCTTCTTCTTCTTTTTTCTTCTTCTATATTACGACATTTGAGGTGGAGGGGTCATTCTCTCTCTCTCTCTCTCTCTCTCTCTCTCTCTCTCTCTCTCTCTCTCTCTCTTTCTCTGCATCTTTCTCTTTCTTAAAACATACACACACATACAAGCAATTCAATGGGTGGGGGAGACGTAGGGGTTGGGGGGAGGGGCCCAATCTCCTTACAATTTAAAAAAAAAGTGTCTCTCAATGGACAAAAGCTGTATTTATGTCCATCATAATAATAATAAGTAAAAAAAAAACGAATATGGAAAAGGGGGGGGGGGGGGCTAAAGAGTGGTCTGCATGCGACAGCAAAGGATCGGACGACCTGGTGTGAGTTTGCTAGGAGCCTATGTTCCATAAGGGATAGGAGAGCCGAATAATAATAAATCAATAATAATAATAATAATAATAATAATAATAATAATAATAATAATAATAATAATAATAATAATAATAGTGTGTTAAATGACATATGAATTAGCAATATAGTTGAAAATTATATATATATATATTTAAACAAGGAAACCTCTTTACAAGGAATGTGGAAGAGGGGAAAAAGAGGGTGGGGGATGTAGATAGTCATGTCTATCCAGATCCCTCTGTCTCATGTACTGTCAATCAACTCTGACACAGATGATCCTCCATAATACGATGTCAAAATGTTCAGCATCGTCTATTTCTCTCTCTCTCTCTCTCTCTCTCTCTCTCTCTCTCTCTCTCCTCCCCCCCCCCTCTCTCTCTCCCTGTCTCCCCTTCCCTGCAACTTTCCGAGTGTCACGATAGACTCCAGTTTTCTCCCTCTCATACATAACACTCCTAAGGAATTGTAAATACAGACACTATAGACTGTATTTTAGCACTGCTATTCTATTCAGACGTAATTTAGTGACCGTTTATAATTTGTTTAGTAAATAATCTTTTCTAGGTTTGCCAACGCCATATTTTCTGGAAGTGGCGACTACCCACAAGTGATGAAAAAGTTCATTGGAGACAAGAGCAGGCGTCAAGGGTTTGCTTCCAGCAGACTACCGGAGTTTACGGACGCGGAGAAAAAGCTAATCAACGGTACAACTATCACTCTTATCTTCTCGGTTATTTACTAGGAGGGCTGCGTGGTATAGAGGCATGGTGTCTGCCTCGAGTGCAGGAGGTTCTGGGTTTGATTCCCAGCTGGGATTTTTTCACGTGGACTTAGACGTCTAGTAATTCCCCCTTGGTCTCTGGGTAGTCAGATCGGACGCCTGTGTGCATTGTTGTGCACGCAAAAAATCATTTGGCAGTTGGAAATTAAAAAGAGTAGCCTAATGGCACTGCCCGGGCAAAATTGTGGGTTAAAAATCTATCCAAAATACATCAGGATCCCCATTCGTGCTACGGAGCCCGTGAACTGCGCTGAGCCACTTTAGACTCAAACTTGAGTAAGAAGTAGAACGGAGCACTTATGGGTACTACCCGTGTGTCATGATGTTGATCCGATGTTGAAACGTCAAACCTATACGTCTGTCTAAGTTATGAACGAAATACTGGGTTCCGCCGCGAATGAAACACTCGATTTTATTATTTTGCGAGTCTGATTATTATCTGCAGGTTAGCGCAGTATGGAAGACATTTAAAACTGCGGGGGAAACAAAGGCGGATTTTTCATCAAGTTGCAGCTGGTACTATTGGCATATTGACTCTTCGTTGGCTACCGAGGAAGGAGACGGAGCACGTGTGGGAATGTCCTGAGTGCAGTAATAATAATTTTTTAGATTAATCCATTTCCTCATTGTTTTTTCTTCCAATCATTCATTCACTGGCCTACAACTTTCAGAGACACTTAAACCATTCATATAGAATGTCACACTCTGGACAAAATTACAACATTTATTTAGAATGTCACCATCCAGAGAGACTTACAATATCTATATAGAATGTCCCACTCTATAGAGACAAAAAATATTATATAAAATGTTACACCCCAGAAAGGCTTACAACATATATATGTAGAATGTCCCACTCCAGAGGGACTTACAATAAGTAAGAAGAAACTCCACACGGGAGCATGTACAGCAGGGGTCTACCAATCATCAGTAGAAGTAACCTCTCGTCGACAAATGTTTCGGCCCACGAGCTCCTAGACATTTTCAGAGAGTGGGCCCACCTGAGTTCATGAAGCTCAGGGTTGGTTCCCCTGCTGCACGAAATTACTGGATGTTGTTCGGATAGGGACAAGACGAATTGGTGATTTTTCAGAAGGTCCTGTGAGATAAGAAGTCGTCGCGATAGCATAATTAGAGTTGGACGACCGAGCGACAAGCTTACTATTGGTGTACCGGACACATGTTGGACTTTTGTTAGCAGGTGGCAGAGGGACACTGGCAGACAATTCGGACACGATAGACTTTCAAGGGATGAGAAATTCTTTTTCGCTAGACACCCGGACCAGCTCACCGAGGCCCGCCCCCTACGTTGTTTCGTTGTGTCCAGAGCCAGCTCGAGGCCCTCCCAGCAACCTCGCCCAGCTGTTTAAGTGTCCGTTTGCGTTCATTACCGCGCAATCCTAGTTCTTTAACCACACTGTGGAGTGAAGTGGAAACGAGACCTCTCGCTCCAACTTTGACGGCAAAGACTCCTCCTGTGTACGCTTCGCCTCTCCTCAGATTGGCTGCTAAGTCATAGTACTTCTCGAGCTTTCGTCCATTCGCGACTCATACGGGACGGTCAGCTCAATCGGGATGAGCTGCCGTTTCTCCGCAGAGTAGAGAACTATGTCAGGTCGCAGGCCAGTCTTCCGAATTGACTCAGGGTACCTTTCATGGCCAGGCAAATCAACCGCCAGTAACCAGTCCCTCGCAGAGTCTAGCATAGATGGATCAAATGCGCCTTTGTTGATTTTTGAATCTGCCCAGCCTTGAAGAAACGTATGGGGACGATGGTGGGACTGGCCCTCGCGTTGGCCCTCATCCTAGCCTGGTCCACAACAGCTGCCAACTCTTTTAGCACCTTGTTGTGGTGCCAGGTATATCGGCCTTGACCTCGGGCTTTTCTGCATGCGGACAGAACGTGTTCTAACACCTGCTTCGCTCTGCACAGCGGGTACGTCGGGTCGTTAGTCGCAGACCACTTCCCCATGTTGACACCGGACGGTAATACATCGTACGCCGAACGAACGATAAAGCTCAGTCGCAGCGGCCTCATTCGCCAAATCTCACCCCATGTGAGTACTCTTGGCAATGCGCCCTCCAGGCTGACCCAATGGCCTGCTGCGACTGTTGTGCTGCTTTCTGGATATGAACCTCGTTTTCGTTGTCCCTTACTTGCTGTATTACCATGTCTCGGCGCTTTTTGGCTGTGGCTTTGGACCACCAACTGACCTTTCCGTGACCTATGCCTCGACGGTCGGTTTGAATGTATCCCATAATCTCCTTCAATTTTACTGCATTCTGGGCAAATTCGATCCCATCGAGGACTCTCCCCTTCTGACCAGTATTTAGAGCGGGCTGGACAGCGATGACATTTGGGTGTGAAGACATGCGCAAGAGCATGGCGTGTCTTACTTTGCCGACTTACAATATTATATAAAATGTCACACTCCAGAAAGGCTTACCACATTTATTTAGAATTTCACAATCCAGATAGACTTACAATGTTAATTTAGAATGTCATAATCCAAGGAGTCTTAGAACATTAACATATAATGTCACAATCGAAGGATACGTACAACATTTATATAGAATGTGACAATCCCGAAAGACCTACAACATTCAGGCCGGCTAACAGCAATAATTTTCAACTTGTATTGTGAAAATGATTTACACATGATCAATCTATAGGCTCTGCTGACTTTCTGGGCATCAACCACTACACATCGAGGCTGGTGGCCAACAGACCACACCCGGACTCTGCTCCAGGCTTTGAGCTGGACCAGGACACGGTGACCACAGCTGACCCTTGCTGGCCAGAGTAAGTCAATATATTTGTGTCTTACGCGATGTCGATAATGTACATAATGGCGACGGGACAGATAAAGATATCAAAATACGAATACAAAAAGCAAGAGCAGCTTTCATAGCACTAGGAAATTTGTAGAAGTAAAAAAAAAAAAAAAAAAAACTGACACTTAACTTGAAGTTTTAAGTTTTAATGTCAAATCAGTACGGTTGTGTAGAGAGGAAACATTTAGAACGCCTAAACAAATTACTAATAAACTACAAATATTTATGAACTCGTGCCTCCGCAGAACAGAGCCAAGTTAGTGGTTTGACAGAATCACTAATGTCAAGCTTTGGTAGAGAACTAAGAAAGTTCAAGAGGAACAAGAGGGGGGGGGGGGGGGGGCAAGAGGCTGGTGTTGGATAGGACCTGTTGAGGGTGGAAATAGAAGACAGAAAGAGACACAACGACACGAGCAACTATGCCCATTCACAACCGATATTAACAGCTGAAACAAAACAATGTGGTGTTATCCCTGTCACTGTGTCAACTCACTACAGCACGCCCTGTCTCTGTCACTGTGTCAACTCAATCTACCACGCCCTGTCTCTGTCACTGTGTGAACTCAATCTACCACGCCCTGTCTCTGTCACTGTGTCAACTCAATCTACCACGCCCTGTCTCTGTCACTGTGTCAACTTAATATAGCACACCCTGTCTCTGTCACTGTGTCAACTCAATCTACCACGCCCTGTCTCTGTCACTGTGTCAACTCAATCTACCACGCTCTGTCTCTGTCACGGTGTCAGCTTAATATAGCACGCCCTTTCTCTGTCACTGTGTCAACTTAATATAGCACGCCCTGTATCTGTCACTGTGTCAACTCAATCTACCACGCTCTGTCTCTGTCACTGTGTCAACTTAATATAGCACGCCCTGTCTCTGTCACTGTGTCAGCTTAACATAGCACGCCCTGTATTTGTCACTGTGTCTGTATATGCATTGGTATGAGTGTGTTTCTGCGTAATGTAAGAGTATGTGTGTAGGTCTGACAGTGAATGGTTGTGTATACATTGTTGTGTGTTTATGCATGTGTGTATAGTATGTATGCATGTATGCATCACTGACTGGGTATTATGTGTGTTTATGTATGAGAGGTGTAGGCATGAGAGTGTATCTATTTAGTGTGTGCATGTATTGTGTGTGCGTGCCTGGGTGTTTGTGAGTCTATATAAATATATTTGTACGTATATTATATATATGTATATATTTATATATTTTTGCATGTGTGTATGTGTGTGTGTGTGTGTGTATGTATGTATATGTGTGTGTACGATGGAAATAGAAGAGCTGATATGTTGGCTTGATCCGCTGTAACTACCGACGGTCAACCTATGAATCATCCTAATATTATTAATGCCCTCCGAGAAATTGGAACGGTGGAGGACTTTGGTGGGCAGTAAATCGACATCAC